ATACATTCTACGAGGAGTGGGGAATTCGAAACTAGTCCCACCCACGCTCACAGTCAGCTAAAACAAAGACATGGCTTGCTTGATTTCTTAGAGAATTTTTATACCTTTGCAGAGGGTATAATGATTTCAGTCAGAAGTTTTTTTTTTTTATAACTTTTCCCGTTCTTACGGAAAAAACTCTATAAATTCCATCCTTCGAAGAACAAAAGTGGGATTCATCCCAAAAAAATCCTGAGAATACGCCTCTAGATGCCTGTCAAATATTTTACGGCATATACTTTTCCTTGTATTTTGTAAGCCCGTTCACCGCATCAAGTTGGTTGTGAATAGAGGTGAACAAATTACTTTAATGGCTCATAGGCTTTGATTAACTCAAATAAATAATATGTAGAAGGGCATCTAAACATTTTTTTGGCATAGGTTTTAATACAATAGAGCACGCGAAAACTAAGCAGGCAGATATGCTTCTATACGTCTATATCAGCGGTCGGCAGCGTTCTATTAAGTGAGCATAGGGAATTGCTCTGCCCATCCGCCGCCTCTCATCTACACTGTTAAACAGCGGTCTACACACACACATCGATGAGCTGCCCAGTGCAAATTACTCAAACAAATACAGAACAAAATGTCATCGTATGTGTGTGCCGACCGCTGGTCCATATTAACACAATTAATTTAATGCCCATAGGGCTGCACCACAAACACTGTCGGCCTGTGTAATAGTAAGACTATATTATATAGCTGCCATAGAAAGGATTGAAAAATGTTTGTCAAAATAATGCAAAAACATTATAAAAACATTTATTATTTGGAGGTTATTTTAAGCTAAATAGCTGTCTATATTAAAGCTGCCATCGCTGTCATATTTTGTGTATACTTTTACCCTTCCTGGCGTTAATTGTTGCGATATTTGCATTCCGGTTATATTTACACATAAATATCAAATAAAAACACCTCTTAACGAGGTAAAAAACTAGTGACGATCGCACCTTCAACATACAAAAGTTCTGATATCAACATTTGTGACGAAAAATTATTACACTCGTCATTAAATAGACTTTCTAATCTTTTCTCATTCGGCCCGCCCTAGCAAACTATTCCAGCCTTTTTCCCTTTACAGGCATTTTCTATTGCAGCGTGCCGAATGAAAAATATTAGAAAGTCTATTTAATGACGAGTGTAATAATTTTTCGTCACAAATGTTGATATCAGAACTTTTGTATGTTGAAGGTGCGATCGTCACTAGTTTTTTACCTCGTTAAGAGGTGTTTTTATTTGATATCAGAAGTTTTTGTTTGTTTACATTTGCTCTCATAGGAGCTAATATATACATTTAAATTTAAATTGGTCAATCATAATTTTTAAACTATTGTATTTTAACAAATTAAGTTAAAAAGGCGTTGAAGTATTTCAAAATACCTTTTAATCGAGGTATAGCACATGTCTGTACCTTTAGTAGTGTAGAACTTACAAACTAACGAAATTTAGCTATTTTTAGCTTTTTCCCGCTAAAGTAGCGGCTTTTTCCAAAAGTCGGAGAACAAAAGATTCCTATATGGAACTCTTAAGTGCAAATTTACTGATCCCATGACCCTAAAATACAGTTCGGATACCCTCACACAAAATTCAATACTCAGGAAGCTTTAGTTGTTCGAGCTGGCAAAAGTGGCCATTTTCGAATAAAAATAACTTTTAAACGTGACTTTTTACAGTAATGTGTTATATACCAAAATTTAAGGAATCTCAAGGGCTATACAGTTTAAGGTTTTAAAGAAAATCGTTAGAGCCGTTTTTGAGAAAAATAAAAAAAGCTAAAAAAAGTTTTAAAAAATTGTCTTTTGTTCATATTTTTTTAAGTATTACATTTACACAAATTGCATATAGAAGGCGTTTATAGCATTTAAAAATACCTTTCAAACGAGATGCAGCACAAGTCTGTAGCTTTAGTAGTATAGAAGTTACGGCTTTCCGAATTTTAGCTACTTATAGCTGTTTTCCCGCTAAACTAGCGAGTTTTTCCAAAAGTGGTAGAACAAAAGTTTTTTATATCGATGTGATGAACGTCATATCAAATTTTCAGAACTTAAAAAACATATTTTGGACAAGTGGACAAGTGGACAAACAGAATTAAATTTTCATTTTGGGAAGAAGAAGAAAATCTTATTTTGGCTATAACTTTTGAACGGAGCGTCGGATTTTGACAAATGACCCCTCATTCGACGGGTATTTTCAAAAGGAATACAACTAAAACATTTCGAGGGGGCATTTATCCCCACCGGCCCCAACAGCTCCAAATTTCGAAATTTTCACTTTTTCACTTTCACCGCTCTCTCTCCCAAGCCAATTAATTTTCTTAGAGTCTTGGTATGCAATCCTGTTAGTTTTCGCAATACCTTTCGATAGGTGTATCATTCATTATGATCGGACCATCACAGTAGATTTTCAATTTTGCGGCTATATAATAGTAGTCGCCTTCGCACACTCTCCTGGTGCGCTTCGTCACTACATGGACTGCCGTCCATAGTGATATGTGCGTACATGTATGGAAATCTGTGGTGCTATACTTTTCAATTAGCCCCTCGTCAAATCCTCCCGTTACGCCTTCGTTTTTCCACCTCTTTCGTGGCAGTTATCACACTTCCCATAGAGATACATTCACAAATACTAGGGAAATACTCAATTAAATGTAGGATGTGGACTGGGCTTTACAGAGGGGGAGGAGCGGTACATAAAGAGCTTCAAGGTTATTTGTAGTTGGCAATTTGCTTTGATTTAATTCAATTTGAACAGCATCGGAGGCAGAGCGTAATTTTTCTCATTTTTGGCGCCGCATCGGCAAAGGGTGTCCCCAAGGTAGGGTTGGAAGTTAAAAATGAGAGGTTAACTTGGGATGGTATTGGATGGTTGGGGGTAGTTTTTCCGCTTGTAAGAAGAAACATTTTCGCTTCACTTTGTAGATCTGATTAATATAAAAAAGTAAAATAGAATAGATGTTGACAGAAAACACTTTGTAACTTCTTCAACTGGTGGATCACTCAAAAACTTAAATTATCTTTACAAATATTTTATTATTATTTAAATTGAAATTATGCGAAAGAAAAATTAAATTTTTAGCCTGCAAACCAACACGTATATTTTAGCGTGTAAAAAGGAGAGAGGTGGGGCAAAAAGAGGGTGATGGGTGCCATTTCTCAAGTGTCATTCAACTGCGAGGACATGTAAGTGTGCCGGGGCACAAAGACTACAACAACGACGGTAACTGTAACTAGTTTTAATGATTATTTACATGGCACAAGTGCAATGAATAATAAATACAAGGCAAGGAGAGGAGAAAGAGGACTTTGCTCCAAAAGGATGTGCCATGTCTATATGGACACCCATCCAGTGTACGGTGTCCGATTTCAATTCAGATTTCGATTGAACGCTGATTGACAGCTGGGAATTGCTGCAAATTGCCTCGAACTAGTTCAATTATGGGTGTTATGTGATGGTTACATTGATTATTCAGTTTTCCTTGGAGGATATGGGTAAAGAAGTTGAAAAGGCAGCTTTGTTTGCCTAAGAACTAAGAACATTAAAAACTCATTTAAATGTTCTTAGTTCTTAGGCAATCAAAGAAAATTATATATGGAATAAAACGATTAAACATTAGATTGTGATTTTCAACAAAACTTCTTGGAGTCTTCGAATGGGATTTTTGTGCACTGGCTTTTTAATTTTTGTCGCCCCACTCGAGGCGCCTGAAGTATTCCCATTTAACCAATGAATAAAGTCTGAAATCGTGAAACTGAATCTGGAACTCGTCTCTATGCTACTTAACTCGACTGGAATGGACGTCTCAAGTGGTCTGACTCATTTGCCATTCATTCGAATTAAGTGTGCCCAGTAGGGAGGGGGATCATTCTCCGTGCCATGCATATATCCAGGAATATCCAATATCCTGGACTGGTAATTCGAAGCTCATGGTACATAACGTGTTTTTTTAATGACAGGCAATGAAATTACCGTCGAGCCAAGACTCTTTTCGGTTGAAAAGTGGCAAAAGAAAGGGGCCTGTGTCCTGTCAAACCAATTCCATTTAATTTCGGACACGGAGCCGAAACGAAAAGAAATTATCTTCACAGAGGACACACTCTGCCATGAAGCCAACTAACTACAAATTGCATAGCCAACAACAAAGGCATCGGGTTGCAAGTTATTCAATTAAAAGTTTCACCAATGTCCAACGCAAAGAGCCTTGAATGTCGAATTCGCTGCAACTGATTTTTATATACCCGTACATAGAGCGACAAAACTGGCTGTCAACAGGCTGACTACTAACGGGCATCCATATATTTTAATTAAAGGAATTTCACTTGGACTATGTTGAATCTATGTGGTTTGAATGGGTATAAAGTGCAACCCCTTTTTACTCTTTTTTGTTGTATTTGAAAAAGACTTAAAAGGGGTTGCACTTTATACCCAATCAACTAAATATTTTTGAGCATTGGTATTTCGTGTATTTCATTTATTCTATTGAATATATCCAGTGGAATCAATCGGACTCCTAGAGTAGCATGGGTTATTTTACCAATCAATTAAAAGGATAATTTGTTTCGTATCTTAAAATATGTATTCACGCAATATTTCACCTTCATGTGAATAACATAATTTAATCGAATTCAGCACTATTGTCTCGCAATCGTCAAATCAATGTCAATATCAATCAAATAAATTGAGTTAAAATTTAAACAATCAATTCTGCTGAAATTTGGTGCAATGGTAATCTCCATTGCAATATTGTCAAATGGTACTAATAAAGCCGTAGCTATTTGTTGAAATAAGGTAAACGCAGAATTAGGAGATTATATAAAGCTAAATATAAAGATTTTATTATGAAACAATGGTATAACAAGATTTTACTGCCAAGGTAGCAAAGTAATTAAAGTATTTTTCATGGTGATTTGATTATCCCATTTTCGATTATTTTCTAATCATCAAAGTCGTATAATATTTTACAGAGTCTGGGCATCCTGGCGTCCATTCCCGCCGGTCTTCTGATCGTTTCGCTGCTGGGCCTGCTCCTGTACCTGTTGACCAGGTGCTGCGATCGTCGCCAAAGGAAGCCGAGCGCCCAGCGCTGCCAGAGCTGTTCGCTGGTCATCATCACGCTGATGACTTGTGCTGCCATCGGATTAGGTGAGTCCTAATCTTCGAATCCCTTGATTCGCCAAATCATAGTCATTAAGGGCGTTGAACTCCTGCATCGGATCGAGTTGGAAGTCCCAGTTGCATTTGCCAAGGCACGTATGTATATTGTACATCCCTTGCCACTGCATTGCATGTTGACGGTTGGTCGGTTGTCGGTGGGCAATTGGCAATTAGCCAAAACGCGACATATCGCCAATGGAGCGGAGCACAACGGCTGGTCACGTATGCAAAGCCGCGGCATAGAGGTAAAGCCGAATTGGAGGACCATGCGTCATCCGACGAAGTGGCTTGGCTAGCGGCGACACAAAACCAAGAAATAATAATTTAATTAGACGCAGAGCGGCGCACAGAACTCTTAATTGAATCATAAATGCGAAATGTGTGTCTTCGCGGCACGCGTTACATCACTGACCTTTGATCTGATCTTTGATATCTCGCTGGTCTGTGACTTCTGATCTCTCGACCTGAAAATACCAAATATGTATTTATCCTTATTATAATATCAGCCTAATAGGTCTGTAATCCGTGACTAATACAAACAAGCAATACACTTGGTTTCGTACGGCCCACTTATTTGTACCGATCATTAACGGTTAATGATATCTCTCCAATCTTGCTTTATTTTTAGGTTTGTACGGAAACGATGACTTCCATAATGGCCTGCTTCAGGCCTTTGGATCCGGGAAGAACGTTGAGGGTCTTGTGCTCACCTTAAAACGACAGGTAAATCTTCTTAGTTTTTATGGGACCATTCTTATAGCTTTTGTTAAACTTATTAAGATACTAAGTTTAGTCTGGCAACTTTAATAATTATAAATGCTGAAGATAACTTTTCTATTAAATTTTTGTATTTGCAAGACCTACTAGTAAAGACAACGATTTTAGTTTAGCAACTTTGCATCATGCAACAACAGCGCAACGTGTAATAAAGGGAAAGCACTATTGCTGCTCTCCCGTGTTCGTATTGCTGTTCTCTTCTTACACGTTGCGCTGTTGTTGCTTGATGCAAAGTTGCTAAACTAAAATCGTTGTCTTTACTAGTAGGTCTTGCAAATACAAAAATTTTATTTTACCACTTCGTGAAGAATTGATGAAGCAATATGAGGATAATTTTTTTATTCGGAAACCGCGTGTATTCCGGCGTACAGAATTTTTTTAAATTTAAATTCTCTTAAAAAATACTTAATTTTAAAATTAAAAATTTTTTAAATTATTTTTCTGAAAGACATGAACATATCCCACAAAGTTGCATACCAAATATTGAAATAACTCAAACGAGTCTCAAGTGATGCATAAAGGAAAAATCGGAGCTTAATTAGAAAATTATTTTTTTAAAATAAACGGTAAGAGTTAAAAAAAAAAAATAAAAAACCGATCCTTATATTTCAATCCTCTATCGAAAAAAAAAGTTTCGATTGATTCTGAGATTTGACCCAAATTGGCCTGTCACGTTTCACGTGGAATGAGCCTATTCCCATTAAGCCCATATTCCCATTCCCAAACTCCTATTCCAAGTCGACTCCTTCTTGTTCATTATAATCAACCTAAAAGCTGGCTGCTGTGTTGACAGTTACGTGGCCTCGTGGGATAGGATGGGCGGGTGGGATGGTTAATGGGGCTCACTAAAACTAGGATGTGGAATAGGGGCTGGGACTGCGGACTATGGGAAGTGTTCTCCTGTCCTAGCCAAAGCTTTTGCTTTTGCTTCTGCCTGCGCTATTCATAAACTTCGTCAGCACACTCAGACAGAAAAGTGGGCGGTGCAAACGAGCCGATAAGCCAAAAGGTTAGCGGGGTTGGGGTTCGTTGGGTGAAATGAGGCATGGCAAGGGAGGTGAGTCAGCCAGCAGCATCAAAGGTAGACGACTCGGATCTTCCTAAGGAAAGAGGGCCAAACAGATGGCTGGCATTGCTTGACTCTTGAGTAAAACGCTATTAATTATCCCTGACACAAAGGACGGGGTGGCCGAAAGGGGGAGAGGGGTGTGGCCAGTGCGATGTGCGTGTGAAGCAATCCCCAGAACCTGAGAAGTAAGCACCAACCCTACCTACTTCCAAAAACCTGACCCAACCCCAAACCAAGTGCGGAAGCAAAAACTTTACGATGGAAACTATTTTTCCTTTTTCTTTTGGCGTGCTTTGTTTTACACTGAACGGGACGAACCTCATGTGGAAAAAGGACTTCGTGAAAGAGGGGGAAGTGGGTGGCGGAATGGTTTCCATTACCCCTATTTGGTCATTAACTTTTGAACTGCTTTTACCTTTTTGGCAAAGGTAAAAGGAACATATTCTAAAAATTTTAATTAAATGTATTAATGTGATTTGTATGTTTCAAATATGAAATTATTAATCATCAAGGAAGTATATTTTCTATATACCAACTCAGTTTTATAGAAATAGTTTTAGATTTAATTATAAAGTACTTTTAGTTAGTGTTCAAAATGACATACATAAATCCAGAAGGTTTTAGGGTAGACTACAGTCCCTGTCCTGAAATGTCCCTATCTTCAATTGTCAGATACAGGTACAGATAAATATAAAGATAGACAAAGATATATAGATTAGTTACAAACCCCTCAATGATTATTATTCTAATTTTTCAGACGGAGAGCATTAAACACGACCTAGAGATGCGGATGGCCGGGCACAAGGTGGAGCAGCTGGTGGAGAAGCCACAATACAACCAGACGGTGGTCATGCTACTCATCGAGACTTCTCGCCTGGTCACGGAGAACACCTCGCGGGCGGTGGCTTCGCTGGACAGCATGGTGCACTACTTTATGAAGGCCAAGGGCAGCGAGAACGATACCTCTCTGATGGGATTACTGCAGGTGCGTCGAACGTTGAAATGTTTCTTGGTCTAGATAATCATCCCTACAACTAACCTATCTGCAATGTTTGTTTTAGCTTGGCGAGTTCTACGAATCCATTCGTTGGCCAGCCACTCTGGCTTTTCTCACTGTGCTTCTGCTGCTTTGCACGGTTCTGGTGATTGGCGTAGCCAGGCGGTCCCGCTGCACCCTGATCTTCTTCAGCGTTTCGGGTCTGTTCTGTATAATAATCTGCTGGCTTTTGGCGGGCGTTTACCTGGCCTCCAGTGTAGCTGCCGGGGATTTCTGTATGCGACCACATGACTACATGTGCCGCCAGGTGGGCATGGTGAGTGTTGTCCTTCTCGAGGTTTTCACGTTTACATAACCATACCATACCGTTCTTCTTAAATTGCCAATTCCCAGCGGAGTCCCTATGTTGACTTCCTGAACTGCGGTACGCCGCGCAATCGGTTTATTTTGCGCCTGAACGAATCACGGGATCTGGTGGATCGGGCCAGGGAAAGTGTGGAACAAATGCAGCGGTAAGTGGAAATGGATGTGGAAGCTGAGTGCTTAGCAGAGGTAGAATACTGTAGCGGATATAAACACCAATAGGAAAAAGTAGCTAGGATCAAGAAATAAGTTAGCTTCGGCACGCTGAATTTTATATACCCTTGCAGTTAAATTTCCAGGGATTTTAGATCTATTTTTGCCTGTTTAAAATTATGTTTTTAAATTGTCAAAAATCCAAACGCCTACGTCCTACAAAGCTATAATGTTATTTCTATTATTTTATAGTTTATTCCTATGGGAGTCATACGTTAAAGTTGTCCCATACACCTCGTTCCGACGTTACTACCTGCAATAGAAATAAAACTTTTGGGAAAGGTTTATCGCGCTAGCTTTAAACTGAGAGACTAGTTTGCGTAGAATCGGACACACGATCAGACCTCTTGACGAGGTAAAAAACGAGTGACGATCGCACCTTCAACATAGAAAAGTTCTGATATCAACTTTTGTGACAAACAATACATTCGTCAACACAAATACATTTTAGAAAATGGTCTCATTCGGCACACTGACAGAAAGAATGCCGGTGTAAGCAATTTGTACTACAAATTTTGTAGCACCTAAATCTTTATTAAACAGTTCTTAACTAAATAAATAATATTACCGGTTTATTTTTTGTTTTTCCTGCAGGATGAGCCAAGACACTTATCCGCACATCGACATTCAGCGCACCCTGAACGCCATGGACAGTGATTTGGAGACGACTCTTCGCAACCTTACGACGCTATCAGCCACTCTGGACAGACGGGCCATCGACATGCACTACGAAGAGGCTCTCCGCGGACTTTGCGGTGGCGGGTTGCTGGGTCTCAGTCTGATGATGGTGGCCGGCCTGCTCACCTCCTTCCTACTGACTATCCTGGTGTATGCCGACTCGCACGCCTGGATTTATTTGTCCAAGCGGTACGACTTCTCTTTTATTTTGGGATCATGTATTTATACCTTTGTTATATATTTACAGGCCTACGCTGGACGCTGACAAATCGGAGACGACGCCCCTGTTCCCCGCCTCGAATGCGCCGAGCGCCAGCATCTCGCCCACGGCACCACCAAACACGGGGACGATCAACAGGACGCTGCTGCACCACCAGCAGCAGGCTTCGGCGGGCGGCGGATCGGGCAACTTGCCGGGGTCTGGAGGCCTGGGCGGCGGAGGGGTTGGAGGAGGAGGCCTCGGCGGAGGCGGAGCCAATGGACACAACGGCGTGGGGCATTATCGCAATGGAACGGCCGGCCTGAGACAAGGGTTGGCATCACCTTCATCTCAATCAAGCCACACCTCATCCACCGCCACTTACAACAACCACAACAACGGCACCACCACCGGTTACAACAACAGCCACCAACAACAACAACACCACCACAACAACCTGTACAGCAACCACCACCACCACTACTACAGCAACAACAGCACACAGCATAGAACTAACTCCGCGGCGGGGGCGGTGGTAGCGGCGGTGGGCGTGGCCAGCAGCAGCGGTCAGCGATCGCCGTCGCCGCCGCCCGGCTACGATTTGGTGCATGGCACAAGGCATGATCTTTGATTTCATTTGATTTCTTGTTTTGTTGATCCCCCCGAGAAACACCTTAAACCCGATTCCATTTTTTCTTAAATCAACCACGCTTGATTTTAAACTCGCTGCTCACGCTTAATATGTTAGTTTTTGTGCTTTAATTGACATGAAACTTATTTTTTGTACCTTACCTTTTACTCTAAAAATCGCGTGCCGATAGGACGTCTATATCCTATAACTCCTTTAGAAAACTTGCAAAATTAAGCTGTTTGTGAAGATATTTCGCATAGTGTACAAGTTTTTGACAAGAACCGTTTCAAATCCTTTTTTAAGCGCACCTTGATTAGGTCGATCTTGTCGATCGGACGTATATAGCTCCCATTAGAACAATGGGGAGAAAAAGGTCAACATTTTATGTTTTTCACCCCATTGTCCAATGAAATCATTACAATGTTGGCTTAGTTTATGAATTGGTTGAGGCTTTGTTTGTTTATCATTGTTGTTTTTGTTTGGATTTTTTATTTTTAATTTGTTAGTCGTTTCGTTGCTCCTTTCGTTATGCTGCAACTGCATGCAAACACCGACAATGATAACTAGCACACCCACTACAATTATAGACAAAGACAACCAGCACAGACCCCACCTACATACATAATTACATATCTAAACTAAAACCCACACACATGCCTTACTAATCCTAACAGATGAAAATCGGGTAAACTAGTTTGAAAATACGCGTAGTTTAAAACAAGTCCTTTAACTATATCAATTAAGATATTTATATTGCCTAATAGATTTCTAAAAAAAAAGTGATAAAATCGCACTACAATTTTTCGAATGGGAACTTCATTCTGACTTATAACTAAAAAATATTTCTTACAGCATAATTTTATGCTACGGACAGGTTTTTTTTAAACTAGACTAAAATGTCTTTCAAGCGATTCAGAAAATAGCATATTGAAGTTTAAACATAGTTTAACACCAAATTCTAAGCAATCGTTGAGTTCATCCGGTAGAAGGTCTAACTAAATCCAACTTAAACACCTCTGTCCCAAAACTGAAGTTAAATTTTCACTAATCCCAACACAACGTTTTACAGGTCAGGCCACCACACGCTGGGTCGCCTACCATCGCACCATCAACAGTCGGCAACATATCTGCCAGGACCAAACAATGGAAAGTACGCGACGCTTAGCAAGCAGTGTAAGACGCTCGAGTCGAACGACTTCTACTGAGATTCGCTTGCCTGCAGTTCCCATGCAGGCAGTAGCAGCAACACAGCACAGCAGCAGCACCAGCAGCAAATGCTGGTTCAACAGCAGAGCAGCCTTATCAATCAGAACCAGGTTCAGAGTCAGAGCACGCTGAAGAACATTTTTGCATCGGCCACCTTGCCCCGCTCCACGGGCAGCTCCATCCGCTCGGTGCTTTCTGTCCAGACTTCCAATGCGGGCATTTGCCGCTCCACGGGCAACGGATTGGACGGTGGTGGCGACTTGGTCGACGATCGCGATCCCAGGGATGTAACCAATAACAGCTTCAATCGCTTTGATCCCAAATACATAAGCATTGGTCCGAAGGCGGTAAGGGGTCAGAATAATAATCTTAACATTATGTCCGCCGCCGGCACGGCCAATAAGTGTGCCACGTTGCGGCATGTGGGTCGCTACGGTGGCTCGCTTAAGGGTGTGTCTGCCGTCAATGCCACGCCCTCTCCAGCCGCCGCCGCCCCAGCAGTCCATTCGCCAAACTTGAGGAGCGCCATAACGCCGTCGATAGCCACCGTTTCGAAGGATTACTGCCAGCAGCCGGACTGCATTCCACAGGAGTTCCTCCTCCAGCAACAGCAGCTCCAGCAACAACAACAACAACAGCTCCAGCAGCAACACCAACTCCAGCAAACGCAGGTTCAACTCCAACAACAACCTCAAATTGTGCCACCTGCTCCGCCGCAACCTGCGCCTCCGCCTCCGCCCAAACCAAAGATAGTTAATACATTTACGGAAATTCCCGGCACCACGGGCGTGGGCAGCTCGTATGCCAAGGAGCAGCAGCACCAACAGCAGTTGTTGGCCCTTCAGCAGCAGAGAGAGCGTGAGCTACAGCAACAGCAGCTCCAGCAAAGGGAGTTGCATCCACCCACCACCCACATTCTACCCCCCTCGGCTGTTTACAGTATCGAGAGCAGCGACGTGGTGTTGCCCACTGCCGCGCCGCGTGTGCAGCAGCGTTCGCTAAATCCTGCCTCCATTATTAACCAGCCGCTGCCCGATATTCCCACCAATCAGCAACAGGCGAAGATCTCCGCTCAGCCGCTTTGCGCCGCCAGTTTGGGTCAGTACCGCTCGTTGCAGCGGCCCCAAACCCAGAAGTTGCAACCTGTGGTCATCTCCTCGCCGCAGCAACCGCCGACCTTGCCGCCGAAGAACCGTCACAAAAATAGCAATCGAGGTGGGGCCGTCGATGCCGTCAGCAATGCTAATCATAATCATTTGCAAACCTTGCCGCCAAAGTCGGCTAGTCTGAGACAACAACAACAGCAGCAGCAGGAGCGAGAAAGAGACCGGGAACGCGAGCGGGAGCGTCCGCGGCGGGCGGAAACTTTGGACAATGCCCGCAGTTATATAGATCAACAGTATCCCAGCCACCTGATAACCACCAGCAACATGAAAAAGCAACACTCATATGACAGTAGCTACCATCAACAGCAGCAGCAGGCCTTCTACCAAAGGCAGCACAACAACAACTTTTCCTCGAAGCAGCAGCAACAGTTAATGCTGGAGCAACATCAGCAGCAGCAGCAAGCCTTGTTCTATAGATCTCTAAAGCGAGGGGAACGAGGAGGAGCTGGCAGCGCCACCGCAGGAGCCACCGGTGGAGGAGCTGCCATTAGTAACCACAGCGATCTGTATTCGGTGACGGAGTTGTAGGAGTGCGCCTGCTGCGGCGGCGGTGTGGATGTGGTGCGAAGAGGCGCTTCATCCACATCGCTGCACGCAGCGGCGGCTACACAAACTCAGAGCCACAACCAAAACCCGACGACGCAATCGCAGAATCAGGAGCCTGTCCCCCTGCCACCCAAGAAGCATCGCCAACGTGAAAGGGAACGGGAGCGGAACCTAGAGCGGGAACAGCGGGAACAAGCCCCCTGCAATGCCAATCTGTGCGAGGAGCACGAGTACGATGAGTACTATCCGCAGGCCTACGAAATACAAGCGGCTGGAGGAGGTGGAAGCGGAGGAGGAGTTACTACTAACTCTGGATCCAAGCATGGCAAGCAAAGTCAGCAAAGAGCAGCCACTTTTGATGTGGCTGATGCCAGGGACTATGAACTGAAGCGATTGGGCAACCGGAGATCCCAGCAGCAGGCGGCTCCAAGTAAAAGAAATGGAGGAGGAGGAGCAGCGCCTGTCAGCCAGGAACACCACCGCAGCCACGATCGCGAGCGGTCGCGCAGCGATCACCGCATTGCCAGCTACGCCTGCGAGGAGGTGAACTCCTCAGCGCTCTGCAGTGCCGGCTCCATGAGCTCCATGCTGCAGCCCGCCAATGGAACTGGTCACAGGAGCAGCAGCCACCAGCGGGATCACCATCAGCGGGATCAGCGGGAGCGACGCGAGAAGACCTTCAAGGTATGATTTTTAGAGACGTCATAAGAATTGTCCAATCCGCGCCAGGACAGCAGAAACGGCAGCTCCAGGCGGCGGACGCGTTGAGGGGTAAATGGAATAGCGAACGTGGCGGATTCTACAGCGAGTACAATGAGGACAACCTCCAGGAATTGAGGAAGCTTCTAGAAAAAGAGAGCAAAAGGAGCGGCATTATCGTTGCAGCATTGGAATTCGGAGACCCCAGCCTGTTTTTATGTTTAGCCTAAGTCGCGTTTACTCTATCTCTATCTGTGTCCATGCCTATCAGCGCCCTCTCTTTCACACGCACACCAGCAATGAAACGAACACACACACACACATATATGTATACATATATATATGAATATATATGTATATACATATATTGTAATAACTGACCTCTTCTGATTGATTCCAAACTGCGAAAGCAGTTTAAAAAGTGCTTAAATGTCAAGGGTAGCGGTCGATATAATAGTATTTTTTAGTTTCGAGCCCTCTTTTTTTTATTTAAATTAATATATTTTTGGTTACAGATTACGCAATATTGAGATATTTGATATTATTCATGTGTCATTCGTCCTGAGAAATATTTAAAATCCCATTTAAATAATTATCATTTAGGATAAAGGTTAGCTTTTTAGGATATTTTTAAATTTATATGTTGCTTTTAAAGTTCATAGCACTATTAATTTGACCGCTGCTGTGCATACAGCCGTATACATCAAAACTTACAACAGTTTTCTGCTCTGTGTTGTTGCCTATTGTTATATATATAGTAGATAACTACGATTAACTTTATCATATACATTTTTGTGACGACTACTCATACGTGTATATTTTAAAAGCCCAAGTTAAGTGAAATTTAGTTTTAAGCGCATAACTATTTATTTATTGTAAGCCTTGAACCCAAAAAATATGACCTAGAAACTAGGAAAAGCGAAGGGCCAGTTGGTGATATTTTCGATATTCAATATTATCGAGAATTGAATGCTGGGCTTCGCTTTTTCGTTGTTCAAGGACATTTTTATTTTCAGAATGAGTGTGTGTGCTTTTGTTTAATTATTAAGATATTTGTGCATTAGCGATTTACGCCGCTTTTTGTTTTTTTTTGTTTGAGAATCCGTTGCGAGAACCAGCAACAACAACCACAGCGACCCGTACGTAAAATTTTTGTGACGTCAGAAATCTAAAAAAAAAACAAAATAAAGAAAAACTAGCAGCAACAACAAAGCACAATACAAGAAAAAACTTAAATGAAAAACATTTCACAAAACAAAACATAATATAAACTTAAAGTCTAACATTTTAAACAAGCAAACGACAACAAGAAAATGAAAAGTTCTTGGATCAAGCAATATAAAAGAAAAAAGATTAAATCGAAAAGAAGCCATACCAAGTTGTTCAACTATTAAACAAAAAAGAATTCAGCAAAGCAAAATCATAAACAATGACAAATATATACATACATAAACATTCATTAATTACAGACATACCTATTATAGAGCAAGCATAAGGAATATTAATTAATGGACAACAACAACCACAAACAATGTTCAGGTCAATAACTGCATTTAATAGGAGAAAATAAAAGAAGATACCCATTGTTAAATTAAACGAAATGCTCTATTTATATACAATTAATATACACATGAATATACACATGAATATATATAAATATACATATTTAACGAATTGCAATTACCCAAAACACAGAAAGCAGAACAACCATTAAACACAAAGTAAAATAACAACCAAAAAAGTTGTTAGCACAGCGGCAAACACACACAAAAAACACATTTTATAAAATCGAACATAATTATACTACACATAATGCAAGACACATGCATGCGATCAGTTGTGGGCAAAGTAATTTTAGTGCCATCAGAAATTTAATAAAATGTACATTTTATCATTTATTAACGTTTTACAAATATATTTTAAGGGTTATAATTTAAGAAAAGTCTTGAAATACCATAATATTTTATTTAAATATATATATAAATGTTTTCCAACGACTTAGACAAATGGTCTAATCAAAAGTAACTTGAATCAAAACCCTTAATTTTCGTCCTCAAGGCAACACATTTATTTTGACCACTTCTGGGAACATAAGCATAGAAATTGAAAACTGCAAATAAGGGAAAAAAGAAAGCAAAAGTATAAAAAACTCACATTTATTCTCTCTGCTGTGCAGATGCAAATAAAACGAGGAATAAAACCACTTCAACAATGTTGAAAAATTGCAACACGCACACACAACGCCAATTTTCCGTATTTTTCGCTCTCTTGCTCTGTCTATCTCGCTGTCTCGCTTAGTACATTCCACCCACCACCAAATTTCTATTGTAGTTTGCACAGGGAAATCTTTAAGTATGTATTAGCAAAAGTTAACACTCGAGGGATAATGGTAGTTGGAGGAATGTTAGAACTCTCTAAGAAATAAAGGAAAAAACATGTTGAAAGTCCTGTTCTCCTGTCCTGTATATATATATATACGACCGATAGAATTCTATAAACTATGTAGTATTTGTCTGTGTGACTGACTGTTTGTGTGTGCGTGCGATGTTTGCAATTATTTTTAAAGTGTATTTTTTTTAATTCGAAAGCAAAATGTTTTAATGTTTCGTATGTAGTGTAGTGTAGCGTAGTCTCGACTAAGCGATAAGGCCAAAATAAATTTTAAAATTTAAAAATCCAAGGGAGAATACCAAAAAAAAATTGCAGGAAGACAGGCAGGCAGGTATTTACTTATAGCATTTAAATTCTAAAAACAAACGGAAATTAATAAATTAAATAACATTAAATCAAACGCAATTAAACACGAAACGTGTGTAATACTGGAAAAAAAGACAAAAGTGTTTCCACGTTTTAGCCATTAAAAAAAGGGGAAATTAGTGCACTTTTTCGTACTTTAATGAAGCAAAGGAAAGCATATATTAAAATGATATTAAAGTGCGTAGAAGGAGCGCCAGAAACAGCTACGTATTCTAATCTTATATAGTAAACGAGAAAGTAAGACAATTTTAGAGAAATCAGTTTTTACGTAAGGTTAAGACAAGAAGATATTTCTGGTTTTTCCCTTTTAACTGCCATTTCCCATTTCCCGCCCAAAAGTCCCACAGTGAATCGCGAATAGAATCCCCTGTTGACACATTTCAGTGCATACTATATAGTGCATCTATACATATATAAATAAACCAACTAATATATACATATATAAATACATAATTATTGTAATAAACAAAATAAGTCTGTAAATTTGTTAACATTTCTAAAGCAAACAAAAAAAACTCAAGTAACTCGAGGGCAAGGGAAAAATTGAAAATGACACCCAGTAGCTTGTAGCTAAACCGAATTACAATTATCCAAGAAAAGAACTTAAGTCGGGCAAAAAATAAACGAACCACTTGCGCAAAATCATCCAAATGTGTGAAATATATAGAGTGCAGATCGGTCGAATCGAAATCGAAACAATTGTTGAAAGCAACCGCTTTAAAATCAAAACCAAACAGAAGAACACACATTCAAATAAAGAAAAACAGAAAAATTGAAATAATTATATAACAGTTGTGAACAAATTATATTTACATAGCGTATAAATAAATTGCATAACAATTGATTAAAATACATAAAGTACAAAACGTTTTATTTCTACAAATTGGTGGTAAAATGTAATAAATTACAGATTTTTCATGTGAAGTTAAACAAATATTCATGGTATATTGGAATGAATTGTTATATTTTGCAAAATTTCGTGTTCTTCAACCAATTAAATTCCCAACACACTGAAAATATAAATAAATTAACTGAGTTTCTGTTAAAAAAATTAAAATGTATACCAAAATACTAAAGTACAAATATAAAAACTCAAAAGAACGACATTGGACAACAATACCAACACAACAGTAAATACTTAACATAATATTTATTAAACGAAAAACCTCGATGATAACGGCCAAACATCGATGTTTCCAAAATTTATAAAAACATCGATGCATCGATGTTTTCATCCACTGATTCGATATCGCTATCGATAGACCGGCCGTCAAAAAAACAAACCAACTACATAAAACAAAACAACATTCCGGACAAGTTTTAACAGAATTATTAAAGAAATGGAGCGAAACAAAATGGAACAAGGATTCAAGAACGACGATATCGAAGAGGAGGAGAATGCAGACATGCTATTCAGACCGCAAATCTATGATGAGGAATTGGCCCTGGAGCGGGAAGAACAAGAGCTCGAGGAATGGAATCTGAAGAACCAAAACTTACTAGGCGGTATTATTCCTTATTATGTACAAAAAGTATAGTTTCTTTAGATAGTTTAGGTTAAGTTCACTTGAAAACACACACTTATCCTTGAATTCCATCCCCAGGAACCGCGTTCTTCATCTGCAGACACTGTCCGGAGGTATTCTTTAGCAAGATGGAACTAGCCGCCCATCGCCCTGTTCACCGGCTCAAAAGTGGACGGAGGAAATCCACCTTGGAGTTAACCTGCGAGGACTGTGGAAAGGTCTTTCAAAAGCGCAACGCCCTCGTGGATCACATGAATGCCCACCAAAGCCAGCGAAACTATCCGTGTCCTGAGTGTCCGGCTCGCTTTGTGCAACGCAGCAACAGGGATTGCCATGTAAAAAATATTCACAGGAAAGAGTACCTGCACTCCTGCCCGAATCCCGGCTGCGAAAGACGTTTCGAGCAGAAGCGGGAACGGGATCAGCACGTGAAAACAGTCCACCGGAAGGAGAAGGACTTTGTTTGCGCTGAGTGCAATGCCAGTTTTAGCCATCCCGTAAATTACCGAAAACACTTGGCTTCCCACAGCTCAGAGAAGAAGTACGATTGTCCAATTTGTCGAAAGCTCTTTGGACGCGCCGAAAACAGGGATATTCATCTCTTTGTCCATAGTATTTGTAAGGCCTATGTTTGCTCCGTTTGCGGAGCAGACTACATGCGTCGCACTCAGTTGATTCGCCATAGTAAAGAGCGTGGTCATTTGAACGACCCGATTGTTCGACAAAAGCCTCAGTTCAGTCCGGGCCTTGCCCAGAGACCCATTGGGATCAGCGGTCAGGTCCAGAAAGCTGCCCATCTGGAGGATGTGGAGTGGTCGCCGGAAGAGGATGCGAAGTTTCAATGCCCAGATGAGGAGGCTAGCCCTGGGTCCATTAGGAAGGTCCATAATGGTAGAACTGATCAAGGTTAGTCTGTATCGAATATTAAGGAGTACGTATATTCAAAACAAGAAGTAAGAGGAAAAAGCTTTTTTAAGAGAGAAACAACCTTTATCTTTTTAAACATAATGAAATAAATATTACAGAAGCCATAAGAAAAAAGAAAAGACATGTGTTGTAATTGGCTATTTCCTTGAGCTACGAGAAAATTAAATCAAACAGTCAAAAAAACAAAAAAAGTTTAATAATGTTGAGTTCATAATTAAGAATCTGGTAAAAGGCAAACTTTGTAAGTTAGCTTTTTCTGTGAACTATAAAGATATAAAGTCCCAGAATCAAAAATACGAATGCTTACTTTAATGATGATTTAGTTAAAATCTTTTTTTTAATTTTAAATGATTAATCTTATAGATATGTATGCCCGTTACTCGTAAAGCAAAATGATAAAAGGGCAACAAGTATTACCGCATGCAAAACATGAACCGAACACGTTGGTCAAAAATCAAAAAAACAAAAGAAAGAAACGGATGAAAAGTGAATGTCGTTGGTGCGGTTGCACTTTAATAAAAAAAAAATGTGAAATGAAATATGTGGTCTCACCTGTCGTCGTCGTCGATTATAATTATCGTTAACCAATGGTTAATTCCGTCATAACTTTATCTTCTCTTGCTTTCTTGCATTGTTATGGCGGTCAAATTTTTTAACCCTTTTTTAACTGTCATACGAAATTATCTAATTTATTGTTGTTGCTCGCCTTTCAATTGTTGTGCCTGAATGAACTTGTTGACACAGTTAAGCTTCCAAGAAAGAAAGAAGATTGCCCAGAGGGGTTTACATAAGCCTTGACCCTGCCCATAAATATTTGGGGGATTACCTTACCCACAACTTAAGTGCTTCTATGAGTTTATTGTTATAGTGATATTATATTGTATTGGATACCTACACACGTACACACATATGTATATGGAGAAGCGTTGAGTGGATTTCCATAAGGGGTGTGTAGGCTTTTTTGGTTTAGTTGTATTCTTTTACATTCTTGCATTGTGTAACGAGAAATTTTATTTTGTATACCAATATGTTTAATCTACCCAAAACCAAAAATCTCTACTCGAATAGATGATTAGCTTGGCTTCTATAGTAACGTTACTTGCTTCGCTTTTTATTATGACGCAATTTCGTGCCTATTCATAAATATAAGTAATTCCCATGGGGGGTATAACAAAATACAATGTACAACGAATTTGAGTAAGGTTGGAAAACCTGGCAAAAGTGTGTGATGCGTTTTCTATTTCGCCTCTAGTCACGTCTCGCTGGGCAAGTTCTGGCCGCTTCCGCAACGGTTGTGCGATTCAATTAGAGGCATTCAAGTTCACCTTTAGTTCACGCGTAGATGAAGTCACTCGAGAGGAAGAGATTAGACCCGATCCCCTGGTATGATCATAATTCACCAATTTGATCCGATCCGATCAAGGTGTCATCCTTTCACTTTCATTACGATGCGCTGCGACTTGATTTCTTTGATGTAGGTCAGCGACTTAAGGATCAAAAGCCCAAACTGGTTAGCCGGTTGAATCGCAAAGATTGCGCAACAGAGATTGGAATGGGATGAAGTTATTGTTACGATTAACATGGAAATGGAGAGAGGCGCTGGGAAGTGCGTTGACCGTCCATAATCCGGATGTGAATGGTGAACCAGTGAACTATGCAAATGGAGTCACATTTTTGCTAACTGAATATGGCTCACCCTTTTTGATAGAGTGTCAGGTACACTTTTCTTCTCTTTCACGGAGGTTGATACCCTTTAATCACCAATCTGTGTAGTCCACACCAATCGGAATCCACAGTCGACTCTGTTTATAGTATGAGTAAAACGACTTTACCTCATTGCTATGCCAACGGCGTTTTGTCCGATCCACTGTCACCCTACCACCTCCTAGTTTGATATAGTTTCACGCATCAAATGCAAATCACAATTTTTAAAGCGAAATCGAAAAAATCCGTAATTACAAATCAGAGAGAGAAAACTGCCAAAATCTACGACGTGTATAGCATTTCATTATCCAGTTTAAAGGGATGGCCTACAAACCCCTAGAAAGAGTGGCTGAGAAAGTCCATATGCCTTTTTTAATTAAAGCAATTCGGTTTGGCACGTTAAATATTTTTTATTTTATCTTCTTCTTAAGTTTATATTTTATCTGGGAATCGCTTGCGGTCAAGAGCTTTTTAGACCTTTCTTTTGCAAGATTAATAATTATACCTTACTTTAGTTGTAGGTAATTCGTAATTCTTCTGATTTCAGATGATCACCAAACATTTTTCTTCAATAACTTTGAGTTTTTAATTTCTTATTATTTATTGTTCGATCTTGGCTTACAGTACGAAATAGATAGGGATACAAAAATACAAAAGACTCTAGAGGAGAAGACCTTACAAACTATACGTTAATAATTTAGTGATATCCATGGGAGGATGTGGGTGGTGGACCGTAGCTGCTGGCAGGGGGCAAATAGGTTGCCTCCGGCTCAAAGATGGGCGTAGCTGAGTCCCCAGAATGACCAGGTGGTCCGTAAAGCTGCCCTGGAGTCGGGTAATCGTAGCCGGGCGAAGATGGAGCCTGCAGAAACGACGAGCTGGGTGTGGCGTAGTCATAGCCGGAAATGGAATTTGATCCAGTTTCGTGCTTGGCTCCCAAAAAGGCGCTGGGCTTGAAGGGCGCCTTGGAGAGGTCAAGATCTCCTGGATGAGCACCGCTGAGGACGTCGGTGTGCAAAGCTTGTGGCTTGCTGGCCGTGTAGCTGAAGTGTCCCAATCCCTTGTGGCCCAGGGCATAGACCGGTGTCTCTCTCTCCTGTTCCCGATGATCGGCTTTCTGTTCTTGTTCCAAGACCTGCACTTGCACTCCCGGCTCCTGCAATGACGACTCCTGGTGATCATAGCCGGGAATGAGGGGTACACCATAGCTGCTCAGCGGCACTCCCTTGCCAAAGGGCGTGGCGGGAGCATCGTATGAGTAGCCAGAATGCTCTTCCGCCAGTTGAGGCAGCGGGTGCTGGGCAAAGTGGTGACCTCCACTGGAGTGACCCCGACCCAAAGCGTGACGCAGTCCATGTTCCGAGGTATGATCCAGGTTGTGATCCAAACTGTGACCCGCTGGTTCGTGGCTGCTGATCTGATGGCTGATGTCATGACCAAAACCGTTACCATAACTGGTACTGTAGGTTGGTCTGTGAACTTGTCCCGACCCGTAGCCGATTCCGTGACTGCTTCCGGTAAATTCGGGAGTAGCCACCACATAGGTGCTAGTTTTATGGTTGTTACCCAACAGATTCAGATACGATGCAGCTGAGGAGGATGGTGCAAATTTGTAAGCCAGTCCGGATCCATGTCCGTGACCTATACCTTGACTGATTCCATGGCTTATTCCGTGACTAATTCCATGACCCTGACCATGATAATTGTGACCGTAACTCGATGCACCGCTTGCTTGAACGATATAGGTTTCGATTTTGGGACTTCCACCAAAATGATAGGGTCTGCCATGGCCACCAGAGCTGGAACTGGCATAACCATGACTTCCAGAGGAATGATGTCCTACGTGATTGGAGTATTCGGAATAACCGCCACCGGAGGAGCCCAAAGGATTTCCATGGTAGCCGCCAAGGTTCAGGTGATTTTCATAGGCGGGCGGCAGATATTTGTGCGAGGGGCCGTGATAACTGGATATTCCTCCGAAACTCAAGCCAGCATCTCTTTTTGGCTTGGAAGAAGAAGAAGGTACTGAGGTGGAGGAAGCAGCAGGAGTTGAAGAAGAAGCTGCCAGTAAGAAGAAGCAGCAGCAGCCTAGTAAAGCTAACGGTACTCCTGAGAGTTTCATGATCAAACACAACAAAAAAAACACGGGAAAAAAATTGGATTAAACCGTTATCCTCGGGTCGTGTATATGGTCGTCCCTGTCCCTCGCGTTGGAGTAGCTATAGAAAGATATAAGACGCGATCGCTGCCGTTAGCGGTTTGTTGGCGACCTCTGTGAATAGCGACCCTTTTATACTTTTTTTAAACGCGCTACTCCGAAATACTCGGTCTTTTGCCGTCTTCGCTTTTGGCCATTTTTGCTACTCACATTGCTTGCTCTTTTTCTCTCTCTCACGCACACATTCACGCAAGAAGCAACGGTATTCGGTTTCGCTTTGTTTGTGCCGCCGACGCCGACTGCGCTGCTACCTTTTACTCTTTCACTCTCGTTTGCCGCACAGTGGAGAAAAATAAATAACAACCTGAAGTTTCCAATATTTAGATCTGAAATAGCCTTAAATTAGGAAAGAAAAAAATAGTTTCATGACATGAGAAGAATTGAATAGATATCGTATCGCAGGTATGTATTAATAAACAAACATACATACAAATGCACATACATGTGCACATAGTTGTAAATTGGAGTTTCACAATTTTTTTATTATTTTGTTTTAAAATTTGTAAAATCTATAGTTTATATTTATTTTTGTACTTATACATACGTACAATGCAAACAAATAATTACAAACTACTAGTTAGCAATGGCCTTGAACTATAGCAACTGAAACCCTCAGCTCAAAATAGTTTTAAATATTTTTCTAATTTCATACATATTCCCTAAAACGCTTACGGGAAAAGCGTTATTTGCGACCCATTAAACGGTATCTGGTTCACTTCCACTGTTCCAAGTTCTCAAACTATAGCTGTCCTGCTCTCTCATTCTTTCCTCTGATCCTCTTACTTCTAGCGGCAAGAATAAGCGTCATTTGCGATTCAACTCCTCAAAGTGACGGTTCGGAGTGCGAGCTAAAAATTGTGAAATTCGGGAAATTAAAGGAATTGAAAAAGTTTAACAAGGTTCTACTCAAATAGTGATAATTGGACTATGTAAATGGCTTAAAGTTGCGCGGATATGTGGTTTTCGCAGCTTTTTACGCTTTTCCCCCGACCCCTCTAAAAGAAGAAGGTGAAAGGAAGCAAAAAAATTGCGCACTTTGCCAACGAAGAAGAGAGAAAGATGAACAGAAAAACCGACGCCTTCGCATCCCAAACAGAAAAAAGTGAGTATTGAATTATTAATATCTGGTTTCAAATTCGAAATGTGTTTAGTGCGGGTCTACAGATCTAGGAAAATGAAATAATTCATTCTGTATTTATTTTGTGGTACCTTTTTACCAAGTTCGGCCACTGTGCGAGTCTTAGCGACTTTACAGCGCCACTCAAGTTCAAGTGACACTTTTTAATATCGCATTTCTGTGCGACCACGCCCAATCGCCCTCCTCTTTTGGCCCTGCCTTTAAAGTTAATGTTGTTGTTATTTGGTGTGTTTTCCATGTAACTTTTGCCCATTTTTCCCCCTTCTCTTTGGTCTTACTTCTGCCCAAAAAAATCACCTTAATTTATGCGTAAATGGCATTTAATTCACAGCAGCACACATCCACATCTTTCACCTTTATCCAGTTGCACACGCTCTTCGCCTTGTAATTGTTGTTGTTTTCTCAGCTGCGCAAATTTTTTTGTAATTCGAAAAGCGATACCCTCAGCTCAAAATAGTTTTAAATATTTTTCTAATTTCATACATATTCCCTAAAACGTTTACAGGTTCACATCCGCAGCTCCAAGTTTAAATCTACAGTGGATCACATTAATATTCGGTTTTTTGTTTTTTTAACTTCAAACGTGAATAAAAGCTTTATAAATAAAAAAACTAATAACATAATAATGCAGAAATAAAGCTTATTTTATTACCTTTTCATTGATATCACTAGTTTACACTAAATCACTTTATCAATTTTTAATTTTAAACCCCGAGATCACGAAAATAGCACTAATTTTTTTCAAAAGTAAAGTTTTTTTAAATATTTTTAAAGTTTCAATTGTTAAATTTAGGCTTATTAAAATTTCTTCTTATATCTGGCAGATATCCACTATGTTGAGTTAGTTTTTTTTTATTTTAAAGTCAATAGATCAGACTTTGCCATTCACGTTAATATGATTGGATGAGTAATGGCAGCGCAAAAGCTTGACAAAGATGAAAAATGTGTTTATTAGTCGTCTGTAAGTCGGCTGTATATATCGTAAAAACTCGAAATACAATCCGTTGAAAAATTATAATGGTACAAACTTAAAGTGTACATCCTGCCGATTCGAAAAAGCAAGTATCGGCCAACTCCATGGAAAACTGGAGTTTTAGTCGATTTTCACAGTCGTTTTTCCACTTTCAAGTTCAAAGTGACACTTTGTAATATCGCATTTACTGTGCGACCAGCCGGGTCACTAAATAGCCCAATCAGCTCTTTAAAACCTAGAAAATTATAAAAGGGAATTTAATTTTTGCAAATTAAGGCTACTTTTGTTATAAGAAGAATACAAAGGAAAATAATAAAAAAAAAAGTTGTATATTTGTTAAAGGAATTTTCAGAAATTCAATGTATTTATAATTTTACTTTTAATTGCCCATTTTTTTTGCCTCCCCACTCATTTTTGTCTTACTTGTCGCTGCCTATAAAAAATCACCTTAAATTTGGACTCTGTCAACCGAAAAAAGTGGCATTTAATTCACAGCAGCTTAAACATCCACCATACTTTCACCTTTATCCAGTTGCATCACTTGTCTCTTCGCCTTGTAATTGTTGTATGTTTTTTCAGCTGCGCAAATTTTTTTGTAATTCGATATATAAAGCCGACTTACCCTCAGCTCAAAATAGTTTTAAATCTTTTTTCTCAATTCTCATCCAACATATGTCCCTATGGAAACGTTTACAGGTTCACATCCGCAGCTCCATTGAGTTTAAAATAAAACTAAAAGTGGATCACATTAATATTCGAGTTTTTGAATTTTTTGAACTTAAAAATCGTGAAAAAAAGCTTTGTAAATCAAAAAAACTAATAACTATTTTAATGATCTAGGGAACATAAAATTTGCCTTTTTTTATTACCTTTTATTTTGTAAACTATGTATATATATATTAATACTTTATTTTTAATTTTAAAGAGATACATGCATAAACAAAAATAAAGTATTAATATATATATATCAATAAAAAGGTAGTAAAATAAGCTTTATTTCTGCATTATTATGTTATTAATTTTTTTATTTACAAAGCTTTTATTCACGTTTGAAGTTAAAAAAAAAAAAACAAAAAACCGAATATTAATGTGATCCACTGTATTTGCATACATACAATTAAATTAAATTCCATTCATACTCACATTCACCTCCACTGTTCCAAGTTCTCAAACTGTAGCTGTCCTGCTCTCTCATTCTTTCCGCTGATTCTCTAACATTATTGCGGCAAGAAAAAGCGTCATTTGCGACCCATTAAACGGTATCTGGTTCACTTCCACTGTTCCAAGTTCTCAAACTATAGCTGTCCTGCTCTCTCATTCTTTCCTCTGATCCTCTTACTTCTAGCGGCAAGAATAAGCGTCATTTGCGATTCAACTCCTCAAAGTGACGGTTCGGAGTGCGAGCTAAAAATTGTGAAATTCGGGAAATTAAAGGAATTGAAAAAGTTTAACAAGGTTCTACTCAAATAGTGATAATTGGACTATGTAAATGGCTTAAAGTTGCGCGGATATGTGGTTTTCGCAGCTTTTTACGCTTTTCCCCCGACCCCTCTAAAAGAAGAAGGTGAAAGGAAGCAAGAAAATTGCGCACTTTGCCAACGAAGAAGAGAGAAAGATGAACAGAAAAACCGACGCCTTCGCATCCCAAACAGAAAAAAGTGAGTATTGAATTATTAATATCTGGTTTCAAATTCGAAATGTGTTTAGTGCGGGTCTACAGATCTAGGAAAATGAAATAATTCATTCTGTATTTATTTTGTGGTACCTTTTTACCTTTATTTTTTGTAATTCGAAAAGCGATACCCTCAGCTCAAAATAGTTTTAAATATTTTTCTAATTTCATACATATTCCCTAAAACGCTTACAGGTTCACATCCGCAGCTCCAAGTTTAAATCTACAGTGGATCACATTAATATTCGGTTTTTTGTTTTTTTAACTTCAAACGTGAATAAAAGCTTTATAAATAAAAAAACTAATAACATAATAATGCAGAAATAAAGCTTATTTTATTACCTTTTCATTGATATATATATATTAACACTTTATTTTTAATTTTAAAGAGATACATGCATAAACAAAAATAAAGTATTAATATATATATATATCAATAAAAAGGCAATAAAATAAGCTTTATTCTGCATTACTATGTTATTAATTTTTTTATTTACAAAGCTTTTATTCACGTTTGAAGTTAAAAAAACAAAAAAACCGAATATTAATGTGATCCACTGTATTTGCATACATACAATTAAATTAAATTCCATTCATACTCTGCCTTCGGCAAGTTCGGCCACTCTGCGAGTCTTAGCGACTTCACAGCGCCACTCAAGTTCAAGTGACACTTTGTAATATCGCATTTCTGTGCGACCACGCCCAATCGCCCTCCTCTTTTGGCCCAGCCAATGTTGTTGTTATTTGTGTTTTCCCATGTAACTTTTGCCCATTTTTCCCCCTTCTCTTTGGTCTTACTTCTGCCCAAAAAAATCACCTTAATTTATGCGTAAATGGCATTTAATTCACAGCAGCACACATCCACATCTTTCACCTTTATCCAGTTGCACACGCTCTTCGCCTTGTAATTGTTGTTGTTTTCTCAGCTGCGCAAATTTTTTTGTAATTCGAAAAGCGATACCCTCAGCTCAAAATAGTTTTAAATATTTTTCTAATTTCATAAATATTCCCTAAAACGTTTACAGGTTCACATCCGCAGCTCCAAGTTTAAATCTACAGTGGATCACATTAATATTCGGTTTTTGTTTTTATTTTTCAAACGTGAATAAAAGCTTTGTAAATAAAAAAACTAATAACATAATAATGCAGAAATAAAGCTTATTTTATTACCTTTTCATTGATATATATATATTAATACTTTATTTTTAATTTTAAAGAGATACATGCATAAACAAAAATAAAGTATTAATATATATATATCAATAAAAAGGTAGTAAAATATGCTTTTATTTCTGCATTATTATGTTATTAATTTTTTTATTTACAAAGCTTTTTATTCACGTTTGAAGTAAAAAAAACCAAAAACCGAATATTAATGTGATCCACTGTATTTGCATACATACAATTAAATTAAATTCCATTCATACTCACATTCACCTCCACTGTTCCAAGTTCTCAAACTGTAGCTGTCCTGCTCTCTCATTCTTTCCGCTGATTCTCTAACATTATTGCGGCAAGAAAAAGCGTCATTTGCGACCCATTAAACGGTATCTGGTTCACTTCCACTGTTCCAAGTTCTCAAACTATAGCTGTCCTGCTCTCTCATTCTTTCCTCTGATCCTCTTACTTCTAGCGGCAAGAATAAGCGTCATTTGCGATTCAACTCCTCAAAGTGACGGTTCGGAGTGCGAGCTAAAAATTGTGAAATTCGGGAAATTAAAGGAATTGAAAAAGTTTAACAAGGTTCTACTCAAATAGTGATAATTGGACTATGTAAATGGCTTAAAGTTGCGCGGATATGTGGTTTTCGCAGCTTTTTACGCTTTTCCCCCGACCCTCTAAAAGAAGAAGGTGAAAGGAAGCAAGAAAATTGCGCACTTTGCCAACGAAGAAGAGAGAAAGATGAACAGAAAAACCGACGCCTTCGCATCCCAAACAGAAAAAAGTGAGTATTGAATTATTAATATCTGGTTTCAAATTTGAAATGTGTTTAGTGCGGGTCTACAGATCTAGGAAAATGAAATAATTCATTCTGTATTTATTTTGTGGTACCTTTTTACCTTTATTTTTTGTAATTCGAAAAGCGATACCCTCAGCTCAAAATAGTTTTAAATATTTTTCTAATTTCATACATATTCCCTAAAACGCTTACAGGTTCACATCCGCAGCTCCAAGTTTAAATCTACAGTGGATCACATTAATATTCGGTTTTTTGTTTTTTTAACTTCAAACGTGAATAAAAGCTTTGTAAATAAAAAAACTAATAACATAATAATGCAGAAATAAAGCTTATTTTATTACCTTTTCATTGATATATATATATTAATACTTTATTTTTAATTTTAAAGAGATACATGCATAAACAAAAATAAAGTATTAATATATATATATATCAATAAAAAGGCAATAAAATAAGCTTTATTCTGCATTATTATGTTATTAATTTTTTTATTTACAAAGCTTTTATTCACGTCTGAAGTTAAAAAAAAAAAAAAACCGAATATTAATGTGATCCACTGTATTTGCATACATACAATTAAATTAAATTCCATTCATACTCACATTCACCTCCACTGTTCCAAGTTCTCAAACTGTAGCTGTCCTGCTCTCTCATTCTTTCCTCTGATCCTCTAACATTCTTGCGGCAAGAAAAGCGTCATTTGCGACCCATTAAACGGTATCTGGTTCACTTCCACTGTTCCAAGATCTCAAACTATAGCTGTCCTGCTCTCTCCTTCTTTTCTCTGACCCTCTTACTTCTTGCGGCAAGAATAAGCGTCATTTGCGATTAGGGATGTCGAAATATTTAAAAATATCGTATCGATGATATTTTTTATTTAAACAAAAAATCAAAATGATATTTGATATATCAGAAAAAAAATATCTATATATCAGATATTTTTGATATTTTTGATTTTTTTTTTTTTTTTTTAATTTTAAGCTGCATAAGCAATAACCACCAAACATTAACCCCATACGATCTTAAATTATATTTTTATAATTTTTAGTTTATATATTTTAATAAATGAAAGAAAACAATATTTATTTTGGCTTTCTTTTGCTTTTATTTATAATATTAAAGTCAATTATTTCCAGCGCTTTTTTTTTCTTGAATTCTGAATGCTATGCTATGCATTTTCACTTGCCGAAAAATAAATTTTAGCGGCGCTCATCTTTCACATATGTATTTTTCTTGTCCCGATGAAAAGTGAGACCACTTAAAATTATCAAAAAAATGTGAAAAAAAAATCGATGATATATGATAATTATTGAAAAAAAATATCACGATAAAAATATTTATTTTTTCGTAAAAAATATCGATATATTGATATTTTGATATATTTTCGACATCCCTATTTGCGATTCAACTCCTCAAAGTGACGGTTCGGAGTGCGAGCTAAAAATTGTGAAATTCGGGAAATTAAAGGAATTGAAAAAGTTTAACAAGGTTCTACTCAAATAGTGATAATTGGACTATGTAAATGGCTTAAAGTTGCGCGGATATGTGGTTTTCGCAGCTTTTTACGCTTTTCCCTAAAAGAAGAAGGTGAAAGGAAGCAAGAAAATTGCGCACTTTGCCAACGAAGAAGAGAGAAAGATGAACAGAAAAACCGACGCCTGAATATCCCAAACAGAAAAAAGTTAGTATTGAATTATTAATATCTGGTTTCAAATTTGAAATGTGTTTAGTGCGGGTCTACAGATCTAGGAAAATGAAATAATTCATTCTGTATTTATTTTGTGGTACCTTTTTACCTTTATTTTTTGTAATTCGAAAAGCGATACCCTCAGCTCAAAATAGTTTTAAATATTTTTCTAATTTCATACATATTCCCTAAAACGCTTACAGGTTCACATCCGCAGCTCCAAGTTTAAATCTACAGTGGATCACATTAATATTCGGTTTTTTGTTTTTTTACTTCAAACGTGAATAAAAGCTTTGTAAATAAAAAAACTAATAACATAATAATGCAGAAATAAAGCTTATTTTATTACCTTTTCATTGATATATATATATTAATACTTTATTTTTAATTTTAAAGAGATACATGCATAAACAAAAATAAAGTATTAATATATATATATATCAATAAAAAGGCAATAAAATAAGCTTTATTCTGCATTATTATGTTATTAATTTTTTTATTTACAAAGCTTTTATTCACGTCTGAAGTTAAAAAAAAAAACAAAAAACCGAATATTAATGTGATCCACTGTATTTGCATACATACAATTAAATTAAATTCCATTCATACTCACATTCACCTCCACTGTTCCAAGTTCTCAAACTGTAGCTGTCCTGCTCTCTCATTCTTTCCTCTGATCCTCTAACATTCTTGCGGCAAGAAAAGCGTCATTTGCGACCCATTAAACGGTATCTGGGTCACTTCCACTGTTCCAAGTTCTCAAACTATAGCTGTCCTGCTCTCTCATTCTTTCCTCTGATCCTCTTACTTCTAGCGGCAAGAATAAGCGTCATTTGCGATTCAACTCCTCAAAGTGACGGTTCGGAGTGCGAGCTAAAAATTGTGAAATTCGGGAAATTAAAGGAATTGAAAAAGTTTAACAAGGTTCTACTCAAATAGTGATAATTGGACTATGTAAATGGCTTAAAGTTGCGCGGATATGTGGTTTTCGCAGCTTTTTACGCTTTTCCCTAAAAGAAGAAGGTGAAAGGAAGCAAGAAAATTGCGCACTTTGCCAACGAAGAAGAGAGAAAGATGAACAGAAAAACCGACGCCTTCGCATCCCAAACAGAAAAAAGTGAGTATTGAATTATTAATATCTGGTTTCAAATTTGAAATGTGTTTAGTGCGGGTCTACAGATCTAAGAAAATGAAATAATTTATTTTGTGTTTATTTTCTGGTTACCTTTTTACCAAGTTCGGCCACTGTGCGAGTCTTAGCGACTTTACAGCGCCACTCAAGTTCAAGTGACACTTTTTAATATCGCATTTCTGTGCGACCACGCCCAATCGCCCTCCTCTTTTGGCCCTGCCTTTAAAGTTAATGTTGTTGTTATTTGGTGTGTTTTCCATGTAACTTTTGCCCATTTTTCCCCCTTCTCTTTGGTCTTACTTCTGCCCAAAAAAATCACCTTAATTTATGCGTAAATGGCATTTAATTCACAGCAGCACACATCCACATCTTTCACCTTTATCCAGTTGCACACGCTCTTCGCCTTGTAATTGTTGTTGTTTTCTCAGCTGCGCAAATTTTTTTGTAATTCGAAAAGCGATTTATTTTGCCACCGTTCGGGATCTTAATTTGGGTCTCTGCTGTGGATGATGATGATTTGGCAGTAATTTCGGAGTTAAGTCGGGTCTGTTAGTTCCCCCTTGAACCCCTTCCCCATCCTATGACCTATGTACATATATATACCTAATAGACTTGGCCCGAAACCAAGGCGATATATCCATTTGCATGCAGACGACGTCCCCCTGAGCGATGAACGATGGTGCACATCATCTGGTAGTCAGCCGGCGACGCTGTAGCGCAGTTCTTTGCCAACAGTTTTTTTTTGCCCAGTACTTGCTGAGATGTGTACCACAGGTTATGATAAACATCTACTTAGCCAAGGATCCCGGGAATCATTTAAGCTAGGGCTGAAACATTTGGTATACGGTGTTTAAAAGTATCAGTAGATCAGCGACAGATCAAGTTTGAAAATCGGACCGATCGGACGTCTATATTCTATAGCTCCCATAGGAACAATCGGATATAACTTGCCGAAAAACTGAAGGTTTTTCGCGCAGTGTAACAATTATTGACATGAATCTTTCCAAATCGTATTTTTTTGTGCATACCTTGATCAGGGTAAAAGCGCGTGCCGATCGGAGTCTATATCCTATAGGAATAATTGGGTGAAATCGGTTAAAATTTGACGTTTTTCAGAATATTTCGAGCAGTGTAAAAGCTATTAACATGAATCTTTCCAAATCGTAGTTTTTTGTACATACCTTGATCAGGGTAAAAGCGCGTTCCGCCCCCATAGGAACAATAGGGTGAACAATTTAAAAAATGTTATTTTTTGAATTATGAAATATTTTGTTTAATAATTCATGTTGCTATTGTAGTCAAATTTTAATCGTGAAATCGGTATTAAAACTTCGGCTTGCCGAAGTTAGCTTCCGCCCTCGTTGATAATACATTTAGTCATGACTAGTGACTACTGGTACTTCTTCATCTTAATCTTTGGCTTCCGAAGCGATTTGATTATACGCATCAAGTTAGCAGAACAACTTTGGAAATTACTATTTTTTTTCTTATTGACAATTTGCCGTTATTTATCCGTAAATTATTCGTGAAACAATTAATTTTGCCGCTCAACTATTTTAAAAGTTATAGGATGTTCTGCTAACTTGATATCAAGTTAGCAGTACAACTCCTTAAATGTTAACTTTTCCAAAATGTTTTTAAATGGGATTTTGCCGTTATTTATCCGTAAATTATTCGTGAAAGAAAAAATTTTGTCGCTCTTAATTTAAGATTTATTTTTTAAAAAAACATAGTTGTTCTGCTAAGTTGATATCAAGTTAGCAGTAAAAATTTTTCAAATGTTAACATTTTCGAAATGTTTTAAGCTGACATTTTGCCGTTATTTATCCGTAGATTACACTAGTTTACAAAATAATATTCTTGGTGTGCTCCCCAGCAATTGATGGCAAATTCTGTTAGTGTTGGACCCCTAGATCACGAAAATAGCATTAATTTTTTTTTCGATGGCACAGTTTTTTTTTTATAGATTTTTTAAAGTTCGAAATGTTAAATTTCTGACTTTTTTCGAATTTCTTCTTATATCTCGGCAGATATCCACCCGATATCCACCCGATTGGGCCAGTTTTAGTTTTATTTTAAAGTCAATAGATAAGAGCTTAACTTTGCCATACAGATATGATTGGATAAGTAATGGCAGCGCAGAAACTTGACAAAGATGAAAAATGTGTTTTTTGGTCGACTGTAAGTCGGCTGTATATATCGTAAAAACTCGAAATAAATCCGTTGAAAAATCATAATGGGTACAAACTTAAAGTTTACATCCTATCGAATAAAACAAGCCGGATATGGCCCAAATCCATGCAAAACTGGATTTATGGTGGATTTTTAAAGTTCGGATTTTTCCACTTTTTTCGGTTGACAGAGTCCAAATTTAAGTTTTATCATAGGCGGCGACATGTAAACAAAAATGAGTGGTGACGACAGCCGGGTCAAAAAATAGCTAAATTTAAAAGCTAGAAAATTATAAAATAAATTTAATTTCTGAAAATTCCTTTAAAATACAAAATAGCTTGCGTTTTGACTGTGAGTATTTTTAATTAAGTACTATCCATTTGGATAATTCATTCTTATAAAAAAAGTAACCTTAATTTCAAAAATTAAATTCACTTTAATAATTTTCTAGCTTTTAAATACTGATTTAGCTATTTAGTGACCCGGCTGCCAACACCACTTATTTTTGTTTACATGTCGCCGCCTATGATAAAACTTAAATTTGGACTCTGTCAACCGAAAAAAGTTGAAAAATCCGAACTTTAAAAATCCACCATAAATCCATTTTTTTATGAATTTGGGCCATACTCGGCTTGTTTTGTCCAGAGGGATGTAAACTTTAAGTTTGTACCCATTATAATTTTTCAACGGATTTATTTCGAGTTTTTACGATACATACAGCCGACTTACAGAGGAACAAGGAAATAAAAATAAAACTGGCCCAATCGGGTGGATATTTGCCGAGATATAAGAAGAAATTCGAAAAAAGTCAGAAATTTAACATTTCAAACTTTAAAAAATCTTTAAAAAAAATCTGTGCCATCGAAAAAAAAATTAGTGCTATTTTCGTGATCAAGGGGTCCAAAACTAACAGAATTTGCCATCAATTGCTGGGGAGATTTCGGCTGTAAACTAGTGATATTCGTGAAAGAAAAAATTTTGTCGCCCTTAATTTAAGATTTATTTTTTAAAAAAACATATCCTCAAGGATGCAGAATTCGCGGGAGTTTTACACATTTGACGTCGACGTCAGCAGCGAACACATATGTTAGCAGAACAACTATTATTTAAAAAAAAAAGGTTAAAACAAGAGCAACTAAATTTTTTCTTTCGCGAATCATTTACGGATAAATAACGGCAAATTCCCATTAAAAAAGATTTTGGAAATTTTGAACTTTAGTGGGGGTGTTCTGCTAAGTTGATATCAAGTTAGCAGAACAACTATGTTTTTTTTAAAAATAAATCTTAAATTAAGGGCGACAAAATTTTTTCTTTCACGAATAATCTACGGATAAATAACGGCAAAATGTCAGCTAAAAACATTTCGAAAATGTTAACATTTGAAAAGTTGTACTGCTAACTTGATATCAACTTAGCAGAACAACTATGTTTTTTTAAAAAATAAATCTTAAATTAAGAGCGACAAAATTTTTTCTTTCACGAATAATTTACGGATAAATAACGGCAAAATCCCATTTAAAAACATTTTGGAAAAGTTAACATTTAAGGAGTTATACTGCTAACTTGATATCAAGTTAGCAGAACATCCTATAACTTTTAAAATAGTTGAGCGGCAAAATTAATTGTTTCACGAATAATTTACGGATAAATAACGGCAAATTGTCAATAAAAAAAAATTGCAATTTCCAAAGTTGTTCTGCTAACTTGATGCGTATGATTTGATTCCGCTTTGTGTCCGTTTCTCGTGTGCCATCGAAGAGCTTTTAGTTTATGTAATTGCCTGGCGCCCGCTAAGCAAGAGAGTTGCTCAATATGCCAGCCAAGGTCACATCTGCCAGGTCGCTCGAGTTATAATTTCGCCGATTTGCGACTTGTGCGAGACGAGACGGTCGTAATTGAGGCATTTGAAAGTGGCAATAAATTGCCAGAGATCCAAAAATCCAATCCGCCCATTGTAAAAGTCGGCCGCCTTAAAGAGGGGGCGAGTCAACACTATCCATACCGAGACTTGGACTTGAATTTGGCATGGGAACTGAACATGCGAACTGAACATGGGACTTGGACTTGGACTTGGTCCAAGACCCCCAGATAATGATTGCGTGTGAAGAGACTTTTCCAGTCAGTCTAAAAGTGGTGGATAACACGAGTCGAGATCAGAATTAAATGATGTGTTAGTTTAAAAGCTGTATTTTAGTTATTGTAATATTCATGCGCGGATCCACGGGGGTGATATGGGTGAAATATCAACCCCCACTCGGGTGAAAAATGAAGGGAATATTGGAATTCAAAAAGTAAGCAACAAAAAATTTGTTCTGATATCACCCACCAGAACAAAATCCTAGATCCGCCACTGGTAATATTAATTGATTTGGTAAAACGAAGAGACCGCATTTCTTTATTTATAGTTTTTAGTTTTTATACCCTTGCAGAGGGTAGTATGAAGAGGAAGTTGGACAGAACATTAACGCAAAATAAATATTTGAACTCAAAGGGTATATAAACTTCGGTTTGCCGAAGTATGCCTCCTTTCTTCTAAAAATGTTAATACCTCAGCATGAATTTAAACAAGTTTTTTTATTTTATTTTAGAGCTCTATTACATAATTGTTTTTTAAATGTTCATTTTCAACAGATTTGTTATACTATTTAACGACAAAAAATATTGCATTTTTTTTTATTTAAGATTAAATTAAATGTATATCCTAAGTTCTTACGAGATTATAAACATTACTAGGGGATAAATAGACATAGCTTAGTGGGACACCTCCTCCTGCACCTTCAACCTTCTCTCCCCCAAATCCTCCGGCACTCCTTGACTTATCCGACCGCTCAGCTATTGGCTTATTATGGGGATGGGCATGGAATGGAGGTTCCTCCAGTTGCTGCTGCTGTCGTTGGACATGGTGTTCCTGCTCCTGCACCGTATCACTATTCTCGTCATCCGTGTAACCGGCGAAAGGTGATGACCTGAAGGGCAGACCAAAATGTCCAGCCGGTGGAGGAGCTGCCAGGGGAAGAGGCTGCAGCTGAGGAGTGAATAGACCCACCAGTACGGGCTTATATGGCTGTGGATATTGCTGTAGAGCTAGTGCCCGAAGCTGCTGCTGTGGGATGTTAAATTGCTGTTGATCCTGTGGAACTGGAGGAAACGTCTGTGGACCCGTGTAACCAGGACTCAGTTGGGCAATCCCCGCCATTGGAGGCAAAGGATTAGCTGTGGGCAGGATCAATGGACGCCAGGGCATCGAGTAGAGCCATGAAGGCTGGAACTGATTTCCCATCTGCTGCTGGTGCTGTGTCCTCATCAATGCAAAGCAACAGACCAGGATGAGGATGTAAAGTTGAATTACCCTGAACATGCTGCCCAAGAAAGTTGTCTGTCGCAAATGCTGGGAGTGGCCCTGGCACCTAGGGCATATATTTGAAAAAGCCCCAATGTCATTTGATATCTTAGGTTCCGCTGTAAGCGATACCCACCACTTCCATCTCTTCCTTTTGGTTGCGCAATCTGCGCGATCAAATCGCACACCATCGCAACATCAATTCGTCCAGCATCGAAACTTGCCCAATTTTAATTAAAGATCTAGTTTTCATAAAACTTAATTCTGGATAAATGATTTATTTTTGCTTTTGGCGCTTGCGAAAACGATGTTGCAATGTTGCAAGTTTAAAAATTGCCGCTGCTCGTCGTCATCGCCGTCGTATTTTGTGCGATCAACAACCCGTGTAACTGAGCCGCAGACTTTTGGTCGTTGTCGCCCTTCGAAAGCAACATTTTCCACTTGATGAATTGCTGTCATCTGCACAGAAAAAAATTCGTTTGTTATGTTGATATTTTTAAAGAATTATTGCAAAAAGAAACAGCAGGAGATATTTTGATGTGTAAGCTTATGCTCCTTTTAGATATAAGTGTAGATTTTATTACTACTTTGTTGAGTCGAAGGTCGAATACACATGTGTTAGACCTAATATTTCGTATATCGTCTAAATGTAAAAAAAGGATAAAGTACCCTTTATGTTTTCAAATACATTTTATCTTTTTCAAAATTCCCCTACTTCCGAATAACAATATGCCCAATGAAAATGAAAGTATACCACCTTGCCCTCAGCAATGGGCAGTTGGTGTTGCTGCTGTCATTTTGTTGTTGCTGTTCATTGATAGCTTTCGCACGACGGCAACAACATTTCAATTTTGATGACTCGACTTGATTGAAACCGAAGCATGAACATAACAAACGCTGTGCCAAAAAGAGAGCACGAATCGGATCGAATGCAATATTTACTTTTTGCTGCTGCTGACTTCCTGCTGGAATGAAAGTTGCACTGTTGCTGACTTACAGCTATTACCATTTCTGCAATGCTCCGTGCGTTTAAATGTTTTTAAGGTGCTGTTTCTGTTTGTTTTACCTTCACTTGGAAGCAGCGGAAGCAGCTTGAGAACAACTATTCCAAAAACGAATCGTCACTAATTTAATGGCGTCTAATTCGCCCAGTAGCAACATCTACATATACAAACAGCAACTCAAGTATGAGAAAATTACATAAATTCTCGTAATTAACTGCGAAAACCTTAATCAAATTAGCCTGGCTGGCTTTTGGACAGCTACCAAGGTCGTTGCTACTTCCCGTTTGGGATGATATCATATCATCACACTTAAGCGCCAAATACAAATATTAATTTTACCAACCATAGTTGGTATTGAAATATACTTAGGAGTATACAAATTCCCATAAGCATAAAATTTTCTTTGTATTTCGGTTCTTTGGGGTGTGCAATTTGCCATGTCTGAACCTCTAATTCATTAAAAATAGTTATTCCCATAAAAACCGCTATGTTTACCAATGCATACTTTATTTTACAGGTGTAATTATCTGTACAAATCTTACTTAAATATTGTTGCTTTTCAGACCAAATGCTTTTCTAGAAAAAAAGCAAGTGTTGAAGCTGGTATATGAATGGTATGGAATAGGGATTTTAACGTGCAGGAGAAAAAATAAGAAATGGAATTAAAATTGAGGCTTTCAGTAGTAAGGTGGCTGGAAGTCCCGGCTGGGATAAGTCAAGCTATTTTCGGATGATGGCGAGGGCTGAGATGAGTGCAGATAAGGTGGGGACACGTCATGGGCACTAGCCGACCACTGACGATTGCCGATGACTTGTTGCTGCTGAGATCCTTGCTGCTTTTCTTCGTTTTGAGGCCATTCCCTATGTGTGCTGTGAGTAGAAGGCAGCTGATACGAGTGTGACTGCATCTGCAGAAAGTTGGAGGAGGAGGATACACCAAAAGAACCTCCGAGCGAGCCACCATGGGAAACGCCGTGCGATCCATCTACAAATGGGGAATCAGCCAACTGTTGCTCATGCTGCTTTCGCTGCCCCAAAGACGAAGGTGGTACCGAGGGCGAAGAGAAAAGCTGCTTTCGGTACGCATCTGGCAGAGATTGGGTTAGCAGACGAGTGTCTAGAGCATCCAATCCAATGAACCGATCGTGCTCCAAATCGCTGGAAAGCGTATAACTCGGCACCAGCTTCACATCTCGTCCGGGAGCAGCGATCGACGTGTGGCTATTGGCATGCGCCTCAGCCGAAGGCAGTTTCTCGAGGCCAAGTTCTCGGATGGGTTGCCAAAGGTCACCACGCAGAGGCTGCTGTTGCTCAAAGCGATGCTGCTGGTGTTGTTGTTGTGGATTAAGGTGTTCGTGTGGCCCTTGCTGGAAGGCATGACCCTGCGAGGATTGCCAGGATTCACCTTCTAATCGATCATGTTGCTCGGGATGCTGCTGCCCTTGAACTGAGTTCCACGACTCCTTTCTCTGCTGCTGATGACTCGGAGCTTGCTGCTGCTGGAAATTAGATGGCTCGTACAAGTGTTCTTTGAGCTGATGGTCCTGATGATACTGCTGCTTATTGGAAAGGCTCTGTTGCTCGTGCTCCAATCCGTGATGTTGCTGAAAGACGGATCCCGCATTAAATGTCTGATGTCCAGAGTTCTGATGAGGTTGCTGGTTGTTGCCCAAGTTTTGATGTTGCTGCTGGGGCAAAACCGATTGCCAGGGTTCACCATTATTTTGCTGATGGTGATGTTGCTGCTGTCCCGGGCGATGTTGCTGCTGTCCCTCGTAATACTGCGAGCTGTAGGGGCCATTGAAGGATTGCTGTCGATGATCTTGACCCAAATCCGTATACAAATGGCCTCCCTGCCGGAGCGGCTCCTCCGATGGCAGATATTTGTGGGCGGGGCCGTTATAGCGATAGCCATTCTTGTTGTTATTGTGCAATTGTTGGGGACCAACCACGACGGCCTGAATATAGGAAAAACCCAAAAAGGCGAAAAGCAAAGGGATCTGGGAAGAAATATTCAATTAATATGAAAAACTAGAAAGGATTCACTTAACTCACTTTGACAGCTTTGAGCTTCATCTTTGCGGCTGGTTTCGGGGGCTTGAATGCTGAGTGAGCAATGACTAGATATGGCCAGTGAAAATACTTTTTATACCCACCAACGGTCGTCACTGTACTACAACTAAATGATCTTGAATAAAATCTGTGCGTGAGCGGGGGCCGAATTTGAGCCAAAAAAATAGTTATAAAGTTGCCACTGCGATGGCGATAAATCACCAAAGTCTCACGTATCTACACATTTGACTCTCTTTTGTGCCATTTACAACAGATTCTCACCCATATGTCTTGTATATCATGTGTTCCTATATAAAACCAGAACCTAAATGTGTCAAATGTACTTACATTTAATTGCGATTTTTAAATGCAAATCAGCTGCCCCGGCGGCACTTTTACTTTGACTTACACAACCGAGGCTAAAACTTTGAATCTTTCAATCAGTTTTCGATTTTGTTTAGGGGTTGTGGGCGGTAAATTTTGTAATTATATCACACGCACACACACTCATGCCCAGTGATATTTAAATGAAAGCGAAGTGCCAAGCAAAACAAAGAGCCAAATAAAAAGAAAAAAAATTATCGGCATAGGCAGCACTTGTATCTATTTATATCGATAGAGATCGACTTTTTCGATTACAGACAATCTAAGTTTATTAATCGTTTATAACTTCCTTAAAATCGTTATAAATTAACGATTATTCAGGTTGTTTAGCTCTGATAAAATGAATGCCAAAATTAAATTCTTGGTTAACTGTAAATTCTATAACTATAAATTGTTTTTGCATTATTAATTATTTTATTTGCGTAATTTGTTATCGCTTTTCTAGTTGGCCGTACAATAAATAATAATAGTCTTAGATTCTTACAAAAAAAAAACATATACAATCAACCATGCACGGAACTCTGGCAAAAAATCAGCTACGAGGGTGTTCGAATTTAGGGATGTAATCGTAATTGTTTTAATTTAATTTGTAATTTGTTTTTGTATTATTAATTATTTTATTTGCGTAATTTGTTATCGCTTTTCTAGTTGGCCGTACAATAAATAATAATAGTCTTAGATTCTTACAAAAAAAAAAACATATACAATCAACCATGCACGGAACTCTGGCAAAAAATCAGCTACGAGGGTGTTCGAATTTAGGGATGTAATCGTTAATAGATGGTTAACTATTTGGGCGGTGGCCTCAGGGCCAAACTGGCTTCCAAATCCTTTGCCTCCGATGCCCGCAGTTGCTTCTTGATCGCCTCTTGTCTGGGATGAGCACCGCCCCCCCGTTTTCCGCGCTTTCCACCAGCCCCAGCACCTGTAGCCACTCCACCTAAAACGCCCACGGCTCCCGCCTGACCTCTGACCTTGTAGGTATGCTGATAGCCGTAACCCTCAGGATTGTTATTGAATTTCGGACTGTAGCTATCGTATTCGAGACTCGAATGCTTGTTGGGGTTGTGGGCGTGGCTGTGCGTGTGGGCGTGGGCGTGGGCGAGGCGCAGAGGCTGTTGCTCCAACCATGGATCATGATCATCCAAAAGAGTTTCCTTTTTCAGCACATAATGATAGGGATAGCCTCCCTCTTCATTCAGAATGACCTTGGAATCATTTTCCACCTCTGCTTCCGGTTCGGCAAAGTAACCGGGTGCATAGCCCTTGTAATCTGGATGCAGTTCTCCAGATGATGGGCTCCCGCTTGCCTTGAGCTTGCTTCGATATTCCTGCAAAGCAGCTGCCTCTTTGCTTTTGTAGGGCAATGAATTTATGTCGTGATAGATTTCCGAATTGAAATACAACTTGTGGGCTTTACCAGAGTTGCTAAGTCGGCCCTGATCCTCCCGTGAATCACGTTCCCTCTCCCTTTCTCTTTCTCTTTCTCTTTCCCTTTCCACCCGATCTGGAGTGGGTACTACGTGAGATAAATCGAATTCTTCGATATTTTTTAAGGCCGCACCATGATCAAAATGATCGGCGCTCTTGAGGGGTAGAGTATAGGGTTTTGAGACGGTTTTCACTGTGGCAGTTTGCAGGGGAGCCCGAGTCTTGATCTTGTAGATAAACTCCACATTGGGACTCAGTTCGTCTACGGGTAAATCAGGTGCCTGATAGGCTGTTTCCGTTTCCGATTGAAAGTGCTGAAGGGGCTTTGAAGCCAACGTGGAACTCCTTAATTTTCCACCTATTTGGTGGGTGTGGTGGTGCTGTGGGTGGTGGTGCACCTGCTGCTGATGATGGTGATGCAACTGCTGTTGCTTCGTCGTCGTTGGTGGTGCCGTAAATTTGGGCCGCACTGTGCTGCTGCTGTAGCGTTTTTCCTCCGAATGGGTAGAGGTTATAGTTCCGGAATGGTGGATACCACCAGATGAAAGCAGTGGCTGCGATTTATAGTAGGTGGTCTTGGCGATTGAGGGCGGCGGTGGCGGAGGTGGTGGTGCCGGGGGCGTGGCCGGCTCTTGAAGGGTACTTAGGATTTTACCCTCTGCCTCCAATTCCTTCATATACTTAATCACACTCTTTTCAATCTGTTTCATAATCTCCGATTTAGGAATTTCCGTTGAGGCCGATACCCTGACTTTTTCCTCGGCCTCGGCTTCGAGATTTCTGTAGATTTGCGGTGGCTGATATTGGGCATAGTTGTTGTTGTAGTTGTTATATTTGGGACGGAAGTGACGTTCGATGTCTGGCTCTGGTCCCTGGATATGGACATTGGATTCCCCTTCGGTGGAGGGTTCATAGAGTTCATAGCTCCGTGTGACGGGTTCCTTTTCGTACACAGGAGCTGGTGCTAAAGAGGGCGATGAGGGTGGTAAAGAGGATTCCGATCCCAAGGAGGATGGAGACGAGGGTCCTGAGCCTAGGATCAATCCCTGCTGTTCAAGTTCCTTTTGCCTTTGCAGTTCCTGGAGCTCCCTATCCTTATCCCTCCGCTGCTCTTGGTAACTCCTCTGCGTGGAAACCTGCAGCTTCTTATGGTTCTGGTTTTGGTTCAGATTCTGGTTCGGATTCTTGAGCTGAATCTGTACCGGTGGCTGATTGTAGGCCAACTTGATGGCATTGGCCACGTACTCGGCTGCGGATTGGGAATCCTCAAGATTGACTCCGGTCGCCCCCGATCCGGATGCTGCGGTCGTGGTGCTCAGTATGAGTTTCGGATGCGATTCTTGCTCGGGGCGGACGAGATTTAGTTCCACCTGGCCGTAGCTATAATCTGGGAAATATAAAATGGAATATGTTTTGTACAGATAAAAACAAGAGAGAACGCTATAGTCGAGTGCCTCGACTATTAGATAGCCGTTACTCAGCTAAACAACTTAATAGAAATATGCCTTCTTATATGTTTTTCGCCGCTCGATTTTTACCCAGGGATCCCTTTCTAGAAGAGGCTTTCTAGAACTTTCAATTCTGCCTATCACATCTCCGTCTCTCTCTAGCGCAGGTGAATGCACTTGTGAAAAACGTATACGAGCATTTCAAATAATTTAAAATTTGCATTAACATAATGTGAATTAGAGTGACCACAGAAAAAAGGCAGATATTTTCCAATGCCATTTCCTAGATGGCGCTAGTGTATAAATTATTGCGCCATCTACCGCCAGATATTGGTACTACTGGTCATGAAAGGCGGAAATGTAGGCGTTGGAGTGTTAGAGTGGGCGTGGCAATTTTTAACTTGGCCAATCGATAGGTATTGACGAAGCGAATACATATCAGTTACTATTTTCATAATAGCTTCAAAACTGTGGGCGTTAAAAAGGGCTTGTGGGCGTTAAAGGGGGCTTGTGGGCGTTAGAGGGGGCGTGGCACCTTTTTGAAACAAACTTGCACTGCGTAGGAGCTCCTAGAATCTGCATGCAAAATGCCAATCTTCTAGCTTTTATAGTTTCCAAGATCTCAGCGTTCATACAGACAGACAGACAGACGGACAGACATGACTAGATCGACTCGGCTAGTGATCCTGATCAAGAATATATATACTTTATGGGGTCGGAAACGCTTCCTTCTAGCTGTTACATACTTTTGCACGAATACAATATACCCTTTTACTCTACGAGTAACGGGTATAAATACGATCACCTTATCATTGCGTAGGGCAGAAGCTTATAAGTTGGTACACTTAAGTTTCTCAAAACTATTCCACAAAAACAAAAATTTGTTTTTTTTTACCGTTACTGGGAGAGTTTTTTTTTATGTAGTCGCTGCGGACCGACAGGAGTCGGCTTACCTTTGCTGTCCGCCTCCTTTAATCTGCTGTGTATCACCGATCCTCGCCTGGAGTAACCACGTTCATCTGACCCGCGACGACTGGCTGCCAAAGCTAGCTGATCTGGAATTTTCTTGCCATCAGTCTCCTCAAGTGAGGATGCACCTGCTCCTAGGGTTCCTCCTGATCGGCGGCGACTGTTTCCCGATGTGCCTGAGGTTACTGAAACAGCACTGCAAAGAGTCGACATCTGGGAAAACGAAGAAGCCATTATCAATATGCTTAAATATTTGTATACCCTTGCAGAGGTAGTATAATTTCTTTCAGAAGTTTGCAACGCAGTAAGGGAGACGTTTGCGACCACATAAAGTATATATATATGATCAGCACCAATAGACGAATTCATCTAGCAATGTTGAGATCTCGGAAACTGAGAAATCTAGAAAGGTGGGAATTTCCAAGCAGATTCTGTTTTACCAACTATTCTACATATTGATGTTCCTATAAGTGATTTCTCCCAAAGTTCATACTTGTACAAGACTTAAGGATACGACATAAAAGGGAGTATCTCGTCAAGTGATGCTAATTACTTCGCCTTGACCACTTCGCCTTGGGTCCATTTGTTTATGCCCGCCTCGCCATTAAAGTAATTAAATCCAACTCAACCAATTGACTTTCGCTTTCAACAAAGAGAGAAAAAGAGAAGGAGGAGGTGCCTGACAGCTCAATTTCTGTATGATTGAGTTGGCGCTCAGTTGGCCAAGTTCAATGGCCAGTTGGCCAGAGGAGGGGGCAATGAAACATTGGCATAAAATACCTGCAGCACGCAATACCCGATCGCAGAGTGAATCTTGTTAAAACTTTCTGTAAAGCTAGATTTTAACAGTTTGGGATAATATTAAGCGGGAGATCCGATTTGTATGAAACCAAATTTATTTTGTTAAGAAATAATGTAAAAACTGTCTGAACCTAACTTACATAGAATATCTGAAAAACTCTGGTTGGGGCACTCTTTCAAAGTCAAAAATCAATTTTTTGCATATTTTTCTTGTTGTTTTTGCTTTACAAAAAATACTTCAATGTACAAATTGTTACATAAAGTAGGTTCAGACAGTGGGCAATTTCATTACAAACATTTCTGTAAAAGCAGCATGATGATCGAAGCATTACTCTTTGAGATACACGATCCGCAGCTGAGGAAAACATAGTTTTGCGAAAAACGCATTTAAAGTAATGAAATATATCTACTGCACTAGGAAGATGGGTGCCGCCATCCTGGTATAAGTTCCAAAATAGTTCAAATTTCTTCGTGAAACTTTCATGACACATTCCTAAAGAGTTATACTACCAATTTAAATAACAAAAAGAAATGCATTTTTTTTGCTTTCTATATGTGTCTCCCCCCTTAAGGGTGTTTTAACATTTATTTTTGCGTGTACACTTGAATGAAGTCCTGGAACTTCGTGGAAACTCGAAAATGTATTCTATTAGTCAAATTCTCCAGAGCTCCATATTTTCTATAATTTTAGTGACAGTTGTGTAAATGTATTTATTAAGTTAAACTAGGTTTTTAGCACATGTCTGTGACACCCCGTTGAAATGCAAATTTTAACAGAATGTATTGCCTAATTTCATTAGAAACGATTCTGTAAAAATTTAAAGTTATGAAAGCTATATGTAATAAACGTACGATCGGCATGCGCTATTACCTTAGTCAAGGTAAGCATAAAAATAAGTTTTGGAAAAACGCATGTTAATAGCTTTTACATAGCGCGAAATATCCTGAAAATCCTCAAATGTTGACAGTTTTTACCCTATGGTTACGATCGGACCTATAGGATACAGACGTATGTAGCACGTACTTTTACCGTGATCAAGGTATGCATCAAAAATTGGGTTTTGTAAAATGTATTTCAATAGCTTTTCACGACTCGAAATATATTCAACTTTGGCAAGTTTAACTTTATTGTTTCTATGAGAGCTATAGGATATTGACGCCCGTTCGGGCTCGTTTCAAACTTGATCTGTGCACACACAATTTAGGACGTTTCAGAACTCTATCATATACAAATAGATGGACATGGCTCTATCAAGTCCATTAGTGATCCTGATCAAGAATATAAATATAAATAAAATATTAAAAAGCAAGAGAGAACGCTATAGTCGAGTGCATCGACTATTATAGATGCCCGTTACTCAGCTAACCAACATTAAAATACGAATTTACGCGATGGCGCCGCCTACTCGGTAGTTGAAGGCATCGGAGCCTTCCATGCTAGGAAGAAATGTGGGCGTTTTAGGTTGGGTTTTAGCGTTAAGGGCGTTAAAGTGGCAATGGGCAAACTTTTTGTTGATCGATAGGTATTGACAAAACAAATGCATTTCAGTTTAAATATTCATATTAGAGCGATTCGGCAAGTGATCCTAATCATTATAGGGTCGGAAACGCTTCCTTCTACCTGTTACATATTTTGCACAAATACAATACACCCTTTTAATCCACGAGTACCGGGTATAAAAATAGATATTTCCAGGAGTAGAAGATAATATAGTAAAAGGGTATATTGTATTCGACGGAAAGTATGTAAGTATGTTATGAGCAAACAAAATTTAAATGAGGGCTTTTTTTCTCCTTCACTGCGTTTTAAACTTCTGACTGAAATCATTATACCTTCTGCAAGGTTATACAAATTTAAGAAACCCACGTAATGGTTCTCAATTATATGGGATGTTCTTCTGGATTACTTATAAATTTTCACTTCACTTTTGATCACTTGCCACAAAAAAAAAAATATTCCTATCGTGGGTTCGATGGATCCAAATCCAATTCCTTGGATTTTAGCGAAATACTTACGATAATCAGCAGGCATATGCACCACTGCCGTTGGCTAAAGATGATTGATCCCATTTGGATGAGGTGGTTCGAATGGATCGTGTAGTGCTTCTTATGATGATGATGATGATGATGACGATGCTGACGGGATCGTGCTTGTGGCACCGCTGACATTGTGGCGCGACGGAGTCTCAGCTGGGATTGTTAGCGGCCAGCTGGCGAGGCGAGGCTTTTATAATGATGCGGACCGCTGCAGCGGAAAATTTATGCGAATGTGCGGGCCAAGGAAAAGCGAGAAAAGTGCAAATGCAATAAAGATATAGAGATAGAGAAAGAGGAGAGAAAGATCGCTTCACTTTCGATGACAATTCGAATCGTAATAAGCCATCGACGCACAACACGGCGTATGCGTGATAAGTTCGCCCATTATAAACGCGATAAGGAGTGCAAAAGAGAGGGCCATATGGCATCGAGAAAGAGAGAGGAAGACGGGACAACTGGTTATATACCCGATACTCATAGAGTAAAAGGGTATATTGTATTTGTCGGAAAGTAGTTGAGAACAGGGAGAAGAAGACGTTTCCGACTCTGAGATCACGGAAATTATAAAAGCTAAAAGGATGGGACTAAGCATGCAGATTCTTAAGATTAGGCGCATAGCAAGTTTGTTTGATCACAGTGCTTGATTTGTAAATAGCAATCGCCACTCCAAAAATTGTTCAAATCTGACAATTTATTTAAAAGCTGATACCCCCTCTCGGAAACAGTCGCTTAGCTGCTTGCATATCTTCATCTTCCCCGCACTACCTTTAGCTCAGTAACGGGTATCTGATATTCGACTATAGCTCTCTTGTTAGTATTGTAGTTTTTTATTTTCTTGGCTTTAGTCTCACTTTGATGGCCAATTAAGCCATAAGCTAAGCCAAACAAACCCCATACCACACCATACCACAAAAAGTTCAATGAAATGTTTGCCGGCGAACACAGAGGGGTAATACCCGTAATTGACTTGAAAATCCTCGCCACCAAAGGCATTTATTGGGCTAAACGACAAATAATGGACAACGGGGTGTAGTGACTATAATCCATTCCATTCGGAGTCCGGAAATCAGGGGAAAATTCGGCAGGTGAAAATGTTTTTTAACTTTAGAATTGTTATTTTTAATTTCTTGACATGAGACTTCTTATTATATCCCATCTATACCATTCCGATTTGCAGCTTCTAAGTTTGGGGGTATTCCCGTTAACGGCAGACAAATTGGAAACCATGCCATAGCTCTCCAGTCGGCGGTTGGCTTCATGATCACTGACTCAGTGCATAATAATTAACAAGGAGCGAAGCAAACGAAACGAAAAACAGTGTTTAGCTGATTTATGATGATTTTAGCCAGAGCTCGTTGCCGAAAACCAACACGGCTGATTTTAATTTCGATAAACCGATTCGGGGCGAGCGAGAGAGAGTATCCCCTATGGAATAACTTGCCAGTTCAATTGGCCATTGCGATTTATTTTCCATACGTGCTTTTCTTTTCTATCGAGTATTGAATATCCCGCAGGGCGTATGATTTATATTTTAATATTCTGCAAGAGAAGCAAAAATACGAAAGAGAAACACTTGCCACACTTAACACTAACGATAATAGCCGTAATAATAAAAGCGAAACAATTTTTTAGCGGCAAAAACAAAAGCAAAATAAAACAAAGCTGGCAAAGCGTTTCAGCCCCTCCACATGTGTGAAGATCAACAACCTGGCCAGCAGTCGAATGCAATTGCCATAGCTTCATAGCAATATATAAATGCCCTGTTATGTGGCCAAAAACTGCAAAAACCCCATGAAATCCACTGACAGTTAAAAAAGAAACATGTGGATGAGCAGTGATTCAAGACCGTTAATAATTTCATTAAAACTGGGATAACTTGTTAAAAATAATTTTAAATGCTTCAACTAGACTGAAAGCAATAGCTTATGCAGCGGTATTAAAACCTCAAAACAAATTTTTCTTTAATATAGCTATATTTTAAGATCCAAATTTATTTTTAAGGAGAGACCCGAACTGTTCTTCTAAAGCGCAAAATATGAAAGTAATTTTTTTTTTTTTTAGCTTGACAGAAAGCTATTGGTCGCTTTCAGCAGAACAACATTATAAGGATGATGAGCGTAAAAGTTATTATGAGTATTATTATAAAATGCCTGTAACAAACTTCTGATAGAATCTGTGCTGCCATTTTGTCCTTTTTCGGACGGATTTTTCGTTTTAAAAACGACTTTATCTAAACGACTTTATCTAAAATTTCAAAAATCTATTGAAATGTAGAAGAAATATTTAAGAAACGGACCATTTGTTAAAAAATTATGCGCGATTCAAGTTGTATATTTCCCTCGCACTCCTTTAACCTGAGTGACGGGTATTTGATAGTCGGCACCCGACTACAGCGTTCTCTCTTGTTTTATGATGCAAAACATTTTCGGTACGGCAAAATAAATCATTTAAAATTAACGAAAACTTTTGAGGAAATATTATATTTTTTCGATTAAGTGTGAAACTTATCATAACCGTTGCATTTTATTTTGAAATGATCTGCAGTGGTATTTACACTTTGGCGGCTGAAGCTAGCTTTTTTTCTTGTTTTTCTTACAGTTTGACATTTCATTTATATTTGACACACTGTGGCAGCTGCAACGCTTCGACAATGCTGAAAATGTTATGTTGGTAGATCGGACCACTTACAATCCCCTCTCACCATAATATAATACTTTGTTGCCAGAGTTGTTTCAGATACAGCTGGTGTTTTATGTGTCCATTGTTGGGTGGAAATAATCTTTTAGATCATAATGCAGACATTTTTCGCCAGGTAAAAGAGAAATGCTGAGTTGACTAATAGAATCCGGACCAGGAAGAGTCCGATAAACGAATTTTATTGGTTTAACTTGTGTACATTGTTGGGTCAAAATTGATTAATAAAATTCCGTACAGGGAAGAGTCCAATAAACGGATTTGCTTGGAACAAGTTGGAAATAAAACAAGAGAGAACGCTATAGTCGAGTGCCTCGACTATTCGATACCCGTTACTCAGCTAAACAACTTAATATGTTTTTCGCCGCTCGATTTTTACCCAGGGATCTCTTTCTAGAAGAGGCTTTCTAGAACTTTCAATTCTGCCTAGCACATCTTCCGTCTCTCTCTAGCGCAGGTAAATGCACTTGTGAAAAACGTATACGAGCAAAAAGAGACAAAATGCGCGCCCCATTTCAAATAATTTAAAATTTGCATTAACATAATGTGAATTAGAGTGACCACAGAAAAAAAACAGATTTTTTCCAATGCCATTTCCTAGATGGCGCTAGTGTATATTGTATTGCGCCATCTACCGCCAGATATTGGTACTACTGGTCATGAAAGGCGGAAATGTAGGCGCTGGCCAGGTTTAAGCGTTTATTGGATTTGTGGGCGTTAGAGTGGGCGTGGCAATTTTTTACTTGGCCAATCGATAGGTATTGACGAAGCGAATACATATCAGTTACTATTTTCATAATAGCTTCAAAACTGTGGGCGTTAGAGGGGGCTTGTGGGCGTTAGAGGGGGCGTGGCACCTTTTTGAAACAAACTTGCGCTGCGTAGTAGCTCCTAGAATCTGCATGCAAAATGCCAATCTTCTAGCTTTTATAGTTTCCGAGATCTCAGCGTTCATACGGACAGACAGACAGACAGACGGACAGACAGACGGACAGACGGACATGGCTAGATCGACTCGGCTAGTGATCCTGATCAAGAATATATATACTTTATGGGGTCGGAAACGCTTCCTTCTAGCTGTTACATACTTTTGCACGAATACAATATACCCTTTTACTCTACGAGTAACGGGTATAAATACTTGGCAGACTTCCCAGAGATGGAAAACCGTGACAACAATGGCAAGCAATGTGTGGCGCCGCACTTTCGATTTTAATTTCCTCTTCAAACTGATATCGGTCAGGGCTCCATAGAGCGGACAACGTAGAGATCATTATCCTGGTTGGATCATGCAAATGACAGCGGGTATGGGAATCGGAAATGTGAATCTTTCAGATGGTGCGGAAGTCCCTCCGTACGACCACTTTTTTTTTTTTTAATTCGAGTGGAAAGTCGACAGACGCTGCCGCATTTCGAAATTATAGAAATTGGCACAATTTACCAGCCATTGCGGCAGCTGATTATGCTAATCGTTTGGCCGCAGTATCGTAGTATCTCGGATCTTTACGTAAAAAGCAAAAAGGAAGAGACTGTCATGTGAAAGTGGTGGCCATCGCTGGGTGTGGCGGCAAATTGCATCGGATTGCATTGGATCACTGGATCAGTGGACGCAACTGGGGTAAAATAATTTAATGGGATTTAAATCACATATAATTGCTATATTAAATTATTTACTAATGAACTTTATGCTTACATAAAATCAGGAATCCGAAAACTGAACAAATACATAAACCAAATGCAAATATCATTATTTTATTAAAGCAATATAAGCTAATATCACCAGATAAGAAATATATAAAGTTAAATTAACGTGATTTTTTATTGAAAAGCTGTTGAAGAATCGCAGATACGGAAGCAATTATGTAAATTAATTATAATTTATTAAAAGAGCGTACTGTCAAGTAATACTTACCCTTTGAGAGCCAATTTTCGTTGGAACTGTCCTTTTATCATCTTTTTATAGTTGCGTGTCAGCCATAAATTTGTGCCTTTTCTTGTTGCAAAAATATTTTCTACCGATCATGGTGAAACCATTGAGCTCTTTATACCTAAGTTACGCAGGAATCGATGCTATTTATGTGGGTTTCGTGCGTGATTCCGTGAAGCGGCCGACTACCCGAATGAAATGAGACGTCACGGTAACGCAACGACATATTTTCTTAAAATATCATACATTTTCGGAATACATTTTATTGCATTATTTCCCGATTTAAGCCTTATTTTTAAATTTATAAATCGTTTCTGTTGTGTTGCCCAAGTTGGTAAACCCCCGCACCTTGGGTAGTCGGTGTAGTTCGTTGCTGGGCGTTTCCAAGGTCAGAAGTCACCGTTCTCACTGTTGCTATTGGCGGTGGTGCCGTGCTGTCCAATCCTCTTGGCCATTTCCAGCACACTGGGAGTTGGGCGGCGGTAAAGGTATCTGATAAACCGCCGGAGTTGTTATAGGATCCTCCCGTCAGCGGGTGTTCATGGCCAGAGCATTTGAGTCAGAGTGAGGTGTCTGTAAAAAGCAGGATTGTAAATTACTACTTAGTAACAACCTATAAAATAATAAGAATGCAAATCAGTTAGATGCATATATGAATGCAGAGCCTGTGGGCTTCCGCTCCTGTCTGACTTCGATCCCCTGCATAGAGTTCCAGGGAGTGTTTGTGCCGACCCCTTTACCACAGCTGTCTTCGGCTTTAAAGGCACAGCCACAAAGTACTGTCGGTCTCGGAGGCACCAGGCTCTCCGGCAGAATAAGATCTCACTGATCTTTCTCCGGCTGTCTTGCCCAGCCTTTGGCATTGGGACCACTCGTAGACTTTACCTTAAAGACGCCTTAGCCAGATCGTGTCCACGGCCGTCTTGCTAGATAATGGATATGGGCGTAGCTCCGCTAGACCGGAGAAGCCAAGTGGGTTCCAGTGGTGCAGCTCCTCATTGTCGGAGTTCATAGAGATCTCGTGGTCATGGTATTCACCAGCCAGCTGTTATGCCTTGGCCTCCTTGTGGGCGCGCTCTGTAAAAGAGGTTAAGAAGTCGTGATTAGAAGGAATTATACGGCCTGCAAAGGTTATACATACATTGGTGGATCGCAGCCAGTCCACTCCACAGAAGTAAACAATCAGGTTGGATATCTGGGAGTGGGTTTCTAAACTAACCGTCGACGCTTTATGGGACACCCTGTATATGTGCATATGTACATACTTCACCCTTTTCGAGTTATTTCTCAAAAAGCAAGGAGACTCTGCAGACACCCACGGACACACAGATGCTTCTTTTCAGAGAATTTCTCGAAATGCGTTACACATGAAAAGTAAAGCATAATATTTATAGTATCTGCTACCTATCGGACCGTATCGTCATTCGATATAATGAGAGTAGTGTGGTCTTTGTTACTATCGATACAATCGGCTATTTTCGATATAAATTGTAGTCTAGGTAGCTATAACTATATTAAATGTAAAATAAATTAATTTGTACTATTCTTAACGTTAATAATAACAAGAACGGAAGCTTGCTTCGACAAGCAGAAGTTTATTTATTTCCTATGAAGCTACATATTCAAAATTAAATTAAAAATTCAGAAATATTACAAAATTATATTAGTAGAAACAAAAAAACACCGAAACTATAATTGGTTGTCCATTTTTTTTCAATCGTCTCTATCAAAAGCTGATATCTTAGCTCAGACTCGAATTGTGCTGTGCTAATAATATTTTTATCTTAGACTCGAACCAATTTCAATTTAGCGATTTTTGTAAGGGATTTTATTCACTTGTACCACAATAAGTAGCTAGATTTCTGGGATGTTTACTCTATATGAAGAAAAATGTGTTTTTAAGTCAAATTTTGCATTAAAAAAATTCAATAACTGAGTTATAGGCAAACGACACGACTTCAAGTGCCTTTTCAAAAAATGTAATTTTTTATTAATTTTCGCATTTTTTATAAGGGGTTACATCGTGATTGTTTGGAAAAAATGATTAAAATTAAATAGTTTGAGGTTTGAATGTCAATCGGTTGGAATTAAACTAAGAGCCCAGCAAGGTATGACACTACGTGCTTGGATCATTATTTCTATTGTTTGGCCCAGAAAACTGATACTACTGGGCGGAAAATATAGATTAGAACTTTAGGCAAAAATAAACGGTTTTCTTTAGTCGGAAATAAATACCTTGCGAGGATCTTAACACACTGCAATTTAAACGTTTTATATGCGGTTTTTCAGTCGTAAATAAATAGGGGAGTGTAGGGTAAGGTGACGAACGATTCGATTTTGTAATGTAATTTTTCCAAAAATCAATATTTTTCAGAAGTGTAAAAGCAAAAAGTTGCTTAGATCCACTGAGCATATTTCTGTGAAAGTACGATTAGAAATTCCAACCCAGCTAAATCCTACAGCGTTTGGCGTGAACCATTCTTTTTTTGCACTTTTAAAAATTGTAGGGTAATGTGACGAACGATTTGTTTTTATACCCTTGCAGAGGGTATTATGATTTCAGTCAGAAGTTTGCAACGCAGTGAAGGAGACGTTTCCGACCCCATAAAGTATATATATTCTTGATCAGCATCACAAGACGAGTCGATCTAGCCATGTCCGTCTGCCTGTTTCTACGCAAACTAGTCTCTCAGTTTTTGAGGTATCGGGACAAAACTTTCGCAAAAGTCTTCTTTCTATTGCAGGTAGTATATATGTCGGAACCGACCGGATCGGACAACTATATCTTATAGCTCCCATAGGAAGGATCAGAAAAAAAAACATTAAAAAAGTCTAGCTTGGGTGTTTTTTGAAATATTACCTTCTACTTTTGGGAATGTTATTTTTTAAATATTTCTGAATTTCTAATTAATTATTTAAAAAATTGGACTACTATATCATATAGCTGCCATAGGAACGATCGGAAAATAATGGAAAAGTAATAGGAAATAAATTCTAGCTTCTTTGGTTTTTATTGTATTATCTTCTACTCTAGTATATGACTCTGTTTAAATATTTCCGAATTTCAATTTTGACTAGCTAACAACCTAAACTAATGATCCTTAGCTAGTCAAAACAGTCGGTCGCTTAGCTGTCGGCCTTGATTTGTCAAAATTACGACTGAAAAACTAATGAAAAAGTGTATTTTTTGCCTAAAATTTGAGTCCTAATTTTCCACCCTAAAACATCCGTTTTTTTGCCGAAGCAAAGGGAATAATAGCCCAAATATGGAATGTTATACCTTGTTGACTAACTTCTACTAACGTATAGCGAAATGGTTATCATAATTATTTGACTATCCGAATTCGGCAAAGCAGTTACTGGGAACACTTTTGCACATAGTGCTATCTATTGCCTACTTTTAAGGGTGACATCTTTTTGAATCTGTAGTGGTCTTTTGAGATTGCTCTCGTTTATATATTTTGCTTTTGCAAGCGCCACTACAAAACTGATGAAAAAGTGTATTTTTTGCCTAAAATTTGAGTCCCAACTTTCCACCCTAAAACATCCGTTTTTTTGCCGAAGCAAAGGGAATAATAGCCCAAATATGGAATGTTATACCTTGTTGAGCTCGTAGCTTAATTCTCAATCGATTTGCGTTCAATTCTGGACATTTTAATTTTTGGTAATTTTTTGCAAGAAATCATGATGTAACCCCTTATAAAATATGTGAAAATTAGAGAACAATTTTATTTTCCAAAAAGTGATGGGGATTGTTAGTTTAAGCTGTTAGCTAGTTAAAACAGTCGGTCGCTTAGCTGTCGGCCTTGATTTGTCAAAATTACGACTGAAAAACTGATGAAAAAGTGTATTTTTTGCCTAACATTTGAGTCCTTACTTACTACCCTAAAATATCCGTTTTTTTGCCGAAGCAAAGGAAATAATAGCCCAAATATGGAATGTTATACCTTGTTGAGCTCGTAGCTTAATTCTTAATCGATTTGCGTTCAAACCTTAGCTGTCGGCCTTGATTTGTCAAAATTACGACTGAAAAACTGATGAAAAAGTGTATTTTTTGCCTAACATTTGAGTCCTTACTTACTACCCTAAAACATCCGTTTTTTTTGCCGAAGCAAAGGAAATAATAGCCCAAATATGGAATGTTATACCTTGTTGAGCTCGTAGCTTAATTCTCAATCGATTTGCGTTCAATTCTGGACATTTTAATTTTTGGTAATTTTTTGCAAGAAATCATGATGTAACCCCTTATAAAATATGTGAAAATTAGAGAACAATTTTATTTTCCAAAAAGTGATGGGGATTGTTAGTTTAAGCTGTTAGCTAGTTAAAACAGTCGGTCGCTTAGCTGTCAGCCTTGATTTGTCAAAATTACGACTGCAAATTGATGAAAAAGTGTATTTTTTGCCTAAAATTTGAGTCCTCATTTTCAACCCTAAAACATCCGTTTTTTTAAGGTTGTTAGCTAGTAAGTTAGTTTAGGTTATTAAGTAGTCAAAAAAGTCCGTGCATCTAAAACTGTGCCTGGCACCGAAAAATATTCGTAAATTGAATCGATTTGCGTTCAGACCCTAGCTGTCGGCCTTGATTTGTCAAAATTACGACTGAAAAACTGATGAAAAAGTGTATTTTTTGCCTAAAATTTGAGTCCTCATTTTCCACCCTAAAACATCCGTTTTTTTGAGGTTGTTAGCTAGTCAGTTAGTTTAGGTTATTAAGTAGTCAAAAAAGTCCGTGCATCTAAAACTGTGCCTGGCACCGAAAAATATCCGTAAATTGCCTAGTCTTTTCCCACTTTATGTTGCCAAAATTCTGGAGTTGGTTACGCCCTGGAATATGATTTTTAAAATTTTATAACCGCCACTGGGAACACAAGTGAGGGTTGGACTTAACCTTTTTTCCTGTTTTATAGCAAATTTTCTGGAACCGTCTGCTTCGTTTGGGAACTTGAATTGGAAAGGCTGGGTTGAGGTTCGGGCGGCTTTATATACCCCCCCCACGGCCGGAAATCGGGGTCTCGTGTAAGCCTGGTTTCCGACTATAGCCTTCCAATATCGGAGCCGACTCTGTTTATCCCGATTATTCCCATATGTCCCTATTCCAGGAAAACTAGCTAGGCCCTTTTGTAGCTAAACCTTTTCCTAGCTAAATTTTCATTTTAGTATTTGGCTAAACATCGTATCGGGAACTTCTCATTATAACTTAAACTTTAATGTAAACTAATTTTTTTATTCTACTAACGTATAGCGAAATGGTTATCATAATTATTTGACTATCCGAATTCGGCTAAGCAGTTACTGGGAACACTTTTGCACACAGTGCTATCTATTGCCTACTTTTAAGGGTGACATCTTTTTGAATCTGTAGTGGTCTTTTGAGATTGCTCTCGTTTATATATTTTGCTTTTGCAAGCGCCACTACAAAACTGATGAAAAAGTGTATTTTTTGCCTAAAATTTGAGTCCTAATTTTCCACCCTAAAACATCCGTTTTTTTGGAAGAAGGGAATAATAGCCCAATATGGAATGTTATACCTTGTTGTAACTTCTACTAACGTATAGCGAAATGGTTATCATAATTATTTGACTAGTCCGAATTCGGCTAAAGCAGTTACTGGGAACACTTTGCACAGTGCTATCTATTGCCTACTTTTAAGGGTGACATCTTTTTGAATCTGTAGTGGTCTTTTGAGCGAAATGGTTATCCGTAATTATTTGACTATCCGAATTGGCTAAGCAGTTACTGGGAACTTTTCAGCTATCGGCCTCTTTTAGTGAATTTTTGAATCTGTAGTGGTCTTTTGAGCTTCTCTTATATATTTTGTTTAAGCGCCACTGAAAAACTGATGAAAAAGTGTATTTTTCGCCTAAAATTTGAGTCCTCATTTTCCACCCTAAAACATCCGTTTTTTTGCCGAAGCAAAGGGAATAATAGCCCAAATATGGAATGGCAATCCTTGTTAAACTCATAGCTTAATTCTTAATCGATCTGCGTTCAATTCTGGACATTTTAATTTTTGGTAATTTTTTGCAAGAAATCATGATGTAACCCCTTATAAAATATGTGAAAATTAGAGAACAATTTTATTTTCCAAAAAGTGATGGGTATTGTTAGTTTAAGCTGTTAGCTAGTTAAAACAGTCGGTCGCTTAGCTGTCAGCCTTGATTTGTCAAAATTACGACTGAAAATTGATGAAAAAGTGTATTTTTTGCCTAAAATTTGAGTCCTTACTTACTACCCTAAAATATCCGTTTTTTTTTGTTAGCGAAGCAATTTAGGTTATTAAGTAGCCCAAAAAGTCCGTGAATGTTATAACTGTGTTGAGCACCGAATATCCGTAATTCTTAATCGATTTGCGTTCAAACCTTAGCTGTCAGCCTTGATTTGTCAAAATTACGACTGAAAATTGATGAAAAAGTGTATTTTT